CCCCTTTCGACGGGAAAACAAAAGACGCTTTTGCTTCGGTAGAGGTATCTTTCGGTCGGCAACGTCGGATCGGTCCGGATCGAATCGAATCGGGCTTACGGTACTTCGAAAACGTGCTGGCGATGCTGCTTGCTATACGTTGATGGTCGTTTTGGTATGATGGAAGAGCTGGTTCATGACGAAAAATGTCCGCTGGCAACGGCTGGGCGAACAACGAACTTTAGAATGGAAATGGCACTCGCCACTCAAACTTCACTGGATGGAAGGAAGGAAGGGGAGTAGGGGTAATGGGCATGGGGTGTTTTTGTTGTGCTTCTTCCAGTTTTGGTGTGTTCTTTCTTTTTTTTCTTTCTTTTGGATACCTGATGGATGGGAAAGTCGGGAGTGGGTTTGAGAAGGGAATAGGATCTCAAATGATGAAGAAGGGACACTTTTGGTTAGCCTTGTAACTTTTGCCTTTCCCACTTCTCTTCTTGTAGCCAACTTTGAGCGAGCGATCGATCGTGTAAGGACATGGAGCAGACAGGAAGGGAAATATAAGGAGGTAGGTAATAGCAACAAGCATGATGATTGACGAGCTTCGAGAACCAAACTGTGATGTCCGAGACTGGAGCGTATGATGAAGAAGACGCCGTGACAAAAGCGAGAATACTCAACCATGTGCGGCCCGATCGCAAAGACTGACAACGGACGGTATCAATGAACCCGTACAATCTCTCGGTGAACGGTGACGATAAGGTGAGCGAGGTGTGGTGTGAGTGGGAGAGGCCCAACGAGGCCAAGACAGCTTGTTGATGATTGGGCTGCAGCCGGGCCTCACCCATTGCGTGCAGTGAGAGCCAGAGACGCGGCGACCGACCGACCGAACAATCTGCCACAAAACACCAAAAAAGCTGATGAAAAAGGAGGAAAAGAGCAAAGGAGGGAGGAACAGCCCCTTGTATATATCCATTCCCAATTTCTAGACTCAGTCCTTGTTCATTGTCTTTTTTGGGCGCCCTGGGTTTGGGAAGAACCAGACCGGGACCCTGACCCCTCGAACTGACACGACTCCATCGTTTATTGACGTGGGTCGGTCTGATTGGCTGGAGCGAGAGCGCAGGGCTGCGCAGCGGTTTGGAGGGGGGATGGATTGCTGGGATGGGAAGACATGGGACGGGACTCGCACTCGCATTGTTCTCGGCTTCTCAATGCATTTTTTACTCTCTCTCTCTCTCTCTCTGTCACCGGAATCCTGTTGTGAGAAGAAATTCAAGTCTACTGTGATTTAGCAGCATTTGTGAGAAGATTGTTGAAGGGTTCTTCCATGTGAGTGCAAGGAACGAGATGTAGCGACAACAGTAGCCGGGCTGAGTGTGCACTTTTGGCTGTGAATGACTGAATATGAGGGTGTAACATCATGTGAATCAGAGTAGAACTCCCAGTCTCGTTCTTTTGCTCTTTATGTCGGAGCAAATTGATCTGACCTGGCAGTGCCTGGGTGGTATCTGATGTACTGCTCAGTGTACCTGGCGGATTGTAAGCCTTGGGAACTGGGAAGAAGGACATCACCACACCCGACATCACTTGCTCGGCTTGGTATCCCGATTTGTTCACCCAGTCTGGCAAGGCTACATACGAGATACGCAGTGGTTCGGAGGTTCATCACGATGATCGTAGGGCTGAACCGAAGGGCAGCTGACCTTTCATGAAGCAGGTATGCCAGTGTCAGAGAGACCCTTGAGACTACAGGCCGACTGCCTTTTACATCATTGTCATTGTCATTGACTTCACACGGCCGCGTCGCCCAAGCGTCGTGATGAACTGCGGAAGACCAGAGACAGCTTCTACGACACTGACCGTAGATGCTGACCAGGAGAAAGGCCTGAAGGCTGTCCCCGAGTCACCCTAGCCTTTTTGGTTCCCATGTTCATACCGGACGGTCGCTCGGTCGACTCTATCGTTAGCATCAGTGACATCATCACCGCGACTCACCGGCGAAGCACTCGCTCGCCTGCTGCCTCCAGTCACAATCGCATAACGGCACAAACACGGGCACCGCAGAGGAACGTGAAATGGCTTGATCCTTCTTTTTGTGTGGTGTGCTGGAGGTTCGATCGCTCTAAGTTCTACCCTTCGAGCTCTCTCTCTATGTGACGTTGCTGAACCAGTCGTTATGTATCGTCGTTTCGCGCATGATTGATCATTGAACCACCAAAAATTCGGACCTGTTGTAGTGTAATAGATGTGTGGTATCTCTTTCGCTTTTTGGGAGGTCTGCATAAAAAAAACAGAAGAAAGGACTCGAGTCTTTTTTTTGCATTCCCTCTATCTCTGGCCGAGATGCGGCAACACACGGCCGTGTTTGTTGCTGATAATTCCTCCCTCAGCAAACAAGCAGCAAGCCATATCGTGGTCGTCCGGAAACTTGACTCGGGTCTCTCTTGATCAATGCAATGCCGAAGAACGCCGTCCGCCGTGTCCACGCATCATGATGCCCGCCAACAAAAGCAGCCAGCGCACAACCACAACCATCCAAACACCACCACCGTCGTCTCCAAGTAGCCCTTTAACGGTAGGACTTCTGGAAGCGAGAGCGGGCACCCTTACCACCGAACTTCTTGGGCTCGCAACGCCTGGGATCGGCGACGAGGAGAGTACGGTCGAACTGGATGAGGGCGGTCTTCAGGGTGTTCTTGGAGTGCTCATCGACGTACTTGGCGTAGTAGGCAACCTGTAAATCCACCAAAAATGCCCTGGTTAGTTTTCTCGTCTTCGCGTTTCTTCGAGTGCATGTATGTTTGTGTGTGCATCGCGTCATGGAATTCGGCAAAGTGTTATCGGTCGGGGAAAAGGGGGATCGTAAATCGGGGAATACTGACAATGGCCTTGGCAATCTGTAAACACAATTTTGTTAGCATATCTGTTGTCGCAAACGTTCTCGGAGTCGCGATTTCCAAACTTACAGCCTGACGGACGGCATAGACCTGAGAGACGTGACCACCACCGGAGACCTTGAGGCGGATGTCGACCTCGGCGAACTTGTCGGTGCCGAGGAGAAGGATGGGCTCGTAGAGCTTGGCCCGGAGGATCTCGGGGGCGTAGAGCTTAAGGGGAACACCGTTGACCTTGATGAGGCCCTTGCCCTGCACACAGCGGGCGACCGCTACATTTGTCGCAAGACGGCACCGGTCAGCAATTGTCGCTCTCAAATGCCAGAATTTCCAAAATGCAATATCTCGACATACCCGTGGCGTTCTTCTTCTTGCCGAAAACCTGGACCGCTTGCGTAGCCATTTTGTCTGGATGGCAAGATCACGACGATGCGTACGTTCGGGACTTGATAATTTTCAGAGTCGTTCCTCAAAATTTGTGTGGGAGGGGAAAACGAATGGGGCTAAAGTCTGTCACGTGCTGACTAAGCCAGCTGGTGGCCTTGGGCGAGTGCAGGTGCGCTGGGCTGCTAGGAGCGTGTGGTCCAGGTCACTGCGGTCGGTGCGCGCCCAAGAGACGTGGTCGAGGCCGGCAGGGTCTGGGCTAGCGGGCCGCCAACAGCTGTCACTCCTGAAGCGTGGAGTTTGTGCTGCACATTGCTTGGCAGTCTTGGCAAGGTTGTGCCTCGCAGCGAACAAGGTTGTACAGGATCCAGAGGAACGAATGAATTTCTTTTGGACTTGGAAAGTTTTCGAGTGCAATTCCTCCCTTTTGCATCATCGCAGTGAAACATCACCATAACACAAAGCGCCGTCTGTCATGCCACTGTCTTCGTTATCCAGTCTGCGCAACTGCAAGGGACTTGGCGTACGGGCGGCCTCTCAAGATTGATGGACGATCGCTTTATGCGCAATGCGATCTGTCGCACCGAAGCATCCAGGCTCCGTGGACAGGAACAACGTTGAGTTTGATATTCAAGGTTGATACGTCTGTTCACTTCCACCGACGATGCCAACAAAGGACAGTTTATTCATGCCACAGACTTTGCCACAGGCAGACAGACAGCCACAATCAGTGACGGTCGTCATCATTCCAATACTCCCGTCTCTCTCACGAAAAGGAATTGGGTTACAGTACCTTGATTGGGCAACACTCCCCGATATCAGCGATATGTAATGGATAGGCGCAGCAAAGAAATGAGCAGGTATGTAATAAGAAGGCAATGGTACGGCTAATATCGCAACCATATGGCAACCACAACTACATGCCATTTATACTAACCCATACGAGCTCGCCGTCGTTGCAGCGGGCGGTTGGTTTCCCTTTATACATATGGACTGTTGGTTACTTGGCCGCTGAGTTCTGTCCGAGAAACGACGTGGGATCGGCCGATGTTTTATCTTCCTGGTCTCGGCTAAGCGGCCGGCCGGCGACTTGGCAGGTGAAGGTCCTCGCTAGAAAGGTGAGCCATTGGGCAGACCATTGATGATCTTGGTGACCCCTATTTTAACCACCATAGCATTCGTTTGACAGGTGAAATTTGATGGGAGTCTGAGTTGGTGACCGACGTGTTTGTTTGACAGTGTCGAACCTTTTCGATCTTGCTCAGTCAGCCATCTGGCTCAGCCACTGCTTGTCTTTTCCAACAACAAGCACAAACAAAGGATTGACCAGAAACAAGAACATCGGACCCATTTCTCCGGCTTTTTCACGAGCTGCTAGAGGTGCCTACCCGTTGGAGTGGTGCCTCGCTGTACGTTCGGGTACGAGCGTCAATCCTTCCATCCCCAGCAGCTTCCCCGTCACTGCCCTGGAAGTCTGAACCTGTGACTGTCTGAGCCCCTCCTGCCACGGCGCCCTGACGACGCCCTGAACATCGAACTTCCACTTTTAATCCAACGTCACCCCCCAGGGAAGGAACGTCCCGCCGAAACACTTTCTCTTTTTCACTTTTGCATTTTCTCATTTCAATCTTGACACTCAAATTTCCTTGACACAATCGAGTCCGTCGACATCGACATCGTTGTTGCAGCAAAGACATCCAAATCAAAGGAATCCGCAAAATCCACTCCCGCCAACAGCCCGCAATGGCGCCTCTAGCAGAGACGGCCAACCAGGTCCACCAGATCGCCAAGCGAGAGTAAGCCATTTATCGAAAACAGCAATACTCCAGCATCACTAACATGTGTCTAGTCGCTGTTTCTATGATACGTACGACAATTACTACTGCTATTCCGCCTGGTATTATTACGGCCGCTGGGTCCTACTAGGCATTGCCATTCTTTGCGTTTTCCTCTCGGTCTTCCTTATGGCGTACGTCCCCCTACCCTCCCATCATCACCTAACCCATCACCACTAACATCAAATGTTGTAGACGAAGAAACTCCCGCCGCCGCCGCGTCCAAGGTACGCAACCCATGTACGGAACTGGCTGGATGGCTCCCGCCCCTCCGCCCTACGCGCCGCCTCAGTATTCCGCCCAGCCGCCGCCGGGCAGTCAAGGAGGGTACTACGCACCGAACATGAATGGCCAGAAGCAGCCGGACCTGAACGGCGGGTACTATGGCAACCAGCAAGAAGGTGTCCAGCTCCAGCAGCCGGCGAGTGCATACCACAGAGGTCCGGATGAGCAGTTTGCCCCGCCTGATGGGCCGCCGCCTAACCAGGCGCAACGGTTCCAGTAAGCTGGGTTTTGATTCAGAAGGAAACGGAATGAGAGACGATGCGGGGATGGAGATAGGTGACAGGCGACAATCAACAAATCAAACCACCATCCATCATCGATCGATGAACAAACAACGGCGAATGTGATACCTATCCAACAATGGAGAAGGAAGGCAGATAATGGATGATACTGGCGTTGGGGGATGGCAAGGGTTTGCGGATGGCGTTCAGGATCTTTCAACGTTTACGTGGGGAAACGATGCAAGCAACGGTCTTCGTATCTGCATGACGGATGAAGCAGATGACGGGAATGATTGCGATGGGATCTTGTCTGTGGTTGATGAATAGACGACAAGCGGCAAGACAAGCAAATACTATGTTGTCCAGCTTATACGTTTCAATAATGCTATTTCATGTTTAATCGTTTCTCTGATCTTGTCATAGTCATGTCATGTTGAGTTAGAGTATCACCATCCCATCAACATGCTCCCCTTGTCGATGTTGTGAAAGATATCATAGTAAGGGTCCCCTTGCATCTATCTCCACCTGCAACGTCACTTTCCAGATGCAGATGCAGCGTTCTTTTGCTTGCTGATGTTACTGTGTAATTGTTCACCATCAGAGCCATCCAAACAGAACGTCGAACCATCAAATTCGTTAATCTGAATCGATCGGGCCTTTCGGCCAATTGGTTGGTGGCAGTCCTGGTGTTGGTCGCACGAGCAGAGGGGTTCGAGGGGCAAAGGTGAAGAAGAGGCGCAGCTGAACCTCACGTGCTTGGGTGGCAGAGTTGAACTGCGAGAATGACTTGCTTGAGCGAATGCTCACTTGATTCCGCGTATCGGCGCAGGGAAAGGGAAAGGAAGATTGATGAATCAGCCAACCGTTGTCGCTGACCGTTGTCGCGTGACGGTAACGGCGGAGGAGATCATTGGACGACAACATCGCGAACATTGCACATCGACATCTAGAATAACATGAGTAATGGAAGATGCTAACAGACAGCCTCTCGATTCATGGGACATAAAGGCGCCGAAAACAAGAGAAACAACTGAAGATAAGGACCGCTTCTTACTTGTAGATCAGCCCAACCAGACGGGAACCGCGGACACTCCAAGGCAGCACCAGTCTTTATAACCACGGCCTTAAAGCATTAGCACCACTATCATTGCATATATTTTTTACCGTTGTTCTTGCGTTGATCAACAGAAATGCCATTCCTCGATTAGTGTGCTTTTTTAACACTTTTTCCACAGATGGCTGTACAGGCTCAGCATACACCATCACCCAAGCCACGGCCAAATCAGCGCCGACTACGGGAACGAATATGTTCCCAAGTCTCCAGGCAACACGAACGAGATGCTTTCCAAGTGGTATAACCATGCTCACGATCTTTCTGCGTCATAAGTCTAGGGAATAAATGGCCTCCATACCTCTAATACTTCGAGGATCGGAAGTTGTTAGCCTTGGTAGATCGAGTAAACAAGAACGTTTATTGGTTGCTCTAGCTTGAGCTTTGCGAGACTGCCCCTGGTGATCAGAGACCGGGCGGTCTGGTCCCTTCCATTTCTTCCGTGAAAAGAGTCCAGTCAGCAGCACTTTTCCAAGTTCTAACAGCTACAACTAGGTACCGGTCCGTACCCGACAACGCTTTTGTTCACTTTTCTCACCTCCCCATCCCCCATCTTACCTCCCTCCTCCTCATCTCGATCCATTACTCCTCAACACGCTCCCCCGCCCCCTCAAATCCACTCCCCCGCCCCTCCAACCCTCCCACCCCCTTAGGCAACCCCTCCTGCAACCTCTGACTCTTCTTCCCTTCCCTATATGGGTTATATTCCTCCGTCGCCATCATATCCAGCGTCTCCTTCAACCCTCCACCCGTCAACGCCCCCCCCTCTTTCTGATTCTTAGCATCCAGCTTCTCAGGAGCCCCGATATTCTTCTCCGCACCCAACACGTGCGACGGTCGGAATGCCTCGTCTACCGGGTGCTTGGGCTTGTCGGCTTCGTGCTGGGCGCGCGTCTCCCCGCCAGAGGGCTCTTGTGGGCCGCTGCGCAGGTCGTGGTGGTGGCGGGCTTGGTGCGAGGCTAGGGGGTTGTTGTAGGTGCGGGTGATTTCGGGCATTTTGGGTCTGGTGTGGATGATGGTTTTGCGGTTGTTCTTGGGGTGGTGGTGAAGAGGTGTGCTTGGACTGGAGGTTTTCCGTTGGAGCTTGTTGTTTGCTTCCACTTCTCTTGAGGTCCTTTGTGCGAGTTTGTCTTGGACGAACAGGTTGTGTTCAATGGGTATGACTTGGAGAAGGCGTGTCTGGTTCGACTGACTTGTGGGCTCTAAAGAGCTGATGGATGTATAGAAGAGAAGTGTGTTGCTTGATGTTATCGAGGGAGATGTCTCGATCAGGACTGGATGTGCTGCTGTGCATCTGTGCATCTGTTCCTGGGATGAAGTGGGTGTCGTCATTGAGCAGGTGGTCGGCGGAGACAGGGCTGCAGTTATCAGACTATCAAGTCATGGCCTCATATAGCGCTGAATCTGTTAGGGACTGATCACTTACTCCACCCGTTTGCTGACGTAACCCTCTGGACCGTGAGAATCTCTCCATCTTCGGCTCGGCATCACTCGACACTCGTCGACCACACCGTCGAAACTCAAGTGAGAGTCCTCATCCGAGACCTCTGTGGCTCCAATACAAAGCTCAATGCCCTTGTGCAGCGGAGATCTCCCGATAGGCTCCAGTAGCCTCAAGTCAATGGACTCGCGACCTCGGCGGACAACTGAACAACACTCCTTTGTTCCCGGCTCCCCGGGGGCCGTTCCCGCTCCTTGGTTACTTGATCTCCGTTTACCTTTGCAATGAACCATAACAATGAATCGACTGAACAATGGCTTTATCAGATTCAATGCGAGTTGTTCCGTCTCTTATAAGGAACCCAGCTGTTTTATGCTGGGGACAAGACTGAACAGCGTCTTTTGGGATACCAAACTGAGCGAGATATAAAACAATCACACTATCCTCTTCGAAAGCGTTGGGAGTAGAAAAGGAGTGTGACGAATTCAAACAGAAAGCTCGGCATTGCAACACCGACAAATATATCAAAATGACCCTCTGCGATTACGACTCGTCTTCCGACTCTGACAGTTCAACTGTCTCGTACCTCTCAGAAGAAGATTTCCGCTACCCACACACTGGTACACCTCACAACCGCAGTCATGTCAGCAAAAAGAGAACCTGGTCCGAAACAGACGACGAAAGTGACCTCCCTGGCGTCCCAGACTACCGACAAGTCGGCAACTCTTACACTCGCTTCTGTTACAACTCGGATTTGGATTCAGAGGAGGACAGCAGAGAGACAAAGAGGAGAAGAGCCGGCAACGGCAAGCCGGTAGTCCCGATTGCTGGAGGTGTCAGAGACTTCCTGGTCAAGTGTCCTACGCCGGCGCCGAGGCCAACCAGTAGTGCTTTCCCTGTGAGCATTATCCGCAAGCCATTGAGGCTTGGTAGTAGTGGATTTAAACTGGATGAGAATATGGAGTACCTCACCCTCGGTGACCCATCACCTCAAAATGGCAGCGAACTCGAACCTATACCACCAGTAGCGCTTCGTCCAGCTCAAGTCCAACCATTCGTCCATACCTATCCCGCGCCGAAGCCTACGACGGCGGTAAAAGTACGGTTGAGAAAGGCAGCTTCTTCGCCTGTAGAACCGAAGCCGGCGGTTCTGATGTCCGCTTGGCTTGGGGTTACTAGTAACTGGTCTTTTCCTAGCTTGTAGAGCAGTAAAAAGAGATGTGCTGCCGCATCTCGAAGCTAGACAGAATGCATCCTAGAGTAGGAGTTCTTCATAGATGTCTCCACTACACAAACAAAAATAGCATTATACACTCAAGCAGTTTGATTCCCATTTGAAATCTCCTTGCAGTCAACGTGAATGTTCTAAGTCAATACGTGATCATGCCTAATCGTACCTTGATAGAAGTGTTTTGGTATCATCGCTCATAAACATACAACGCCCATAGCCCGTAACCTGGTATCATCCATCTCATCCTTTAACCCTCTCACAACGCAGTCCCCTTCTCATACACCTCACTTACCCTACTTCTGCTCTCATTTCCACTCCCATTCCCATGCTCCATCGACTGCTCAACTTGCACCGTAACATGCACCGATTTCCTCACTTGGATCCCCCCTTCTCCTCCAGTACTCCTACTCCCTTTCGGATGGTGGTGGTGGTGGTCCCTCAGACTATTCCACTTCCTCACTCCAGAATGCTCCTCCTTCCCTTCCTTCTCCTTCTTACTCCCAACCCCTTCCTTCACCTCCACATCATTCACCGTTGTCCCCTCCGACCCCTCCCACGTATCATCCAGCTCCACATACCCCCCATCCATCCAAGCATTCGTCCTCCCCCGTCTCATATACTCGGCCTCTGCCGCTGATACCGGAGGCTTGAACGGCTTTGATCCAATGGTAGGCGGGGTGATACTATCACTCAGTCTTCCGCCTTGTCCGTTGCTTTCATTGCAGGAGCGGGAACGGGAGGCAAGGAAGTTGGGGAAGTACTTGACGATGAAGGGCTTCAACGTCATGACGCAGGCGCAGATGATGGCGCCGTTGCACTCGACGGCGGTGAGGTAGGTGAGCCCTGCGACGGTGTAGGTCTAGTCGATTTGTGGGTTGTCGGTGTTATTAACTTCGAGGAGCTTGAGAAGGCGGATGATGGAGATGAAGCAGATCCTGTGGTGGGCAGGGTACGTTAGTGACCGGGCAAACAGAAAAGGGGACGGGGCTCGGGGGGAGGCTTACACAAAACCCAGCCCAAAGACTGCGGAAAGCGCAATCTTCTGCCTCTTGGGCAACATGATTGTCCACACCACAGGCAGCGGCAACAAGAAAATCAGAAAATCCGTCGCCATATGCAGCCCCGTGCCGGACCACCACATTGACTGGGGCGCCGTCCATTTTCTCTGGATGGTGAAGTCCCAGTAGGAATTCAAGGGGATGGCGGCCGTGAAGCACACGGCGAGCATGTAGACGTGGCTGATGGTGACGACGGCGAGAAGGATCTGGCCACCGAGACGGGCCCAGCGGAAGGTGAAGAGGTGAATGTAGAGTAGTAAGATGGAAAGCTTGGAGAAGTAGAGGCAGAGAGTGTAGAAGATTAGAGAGTACCAGGAGGCCTGTTGTGAGAGATGTTAGTGGCTGCGTCCAGGTCGTTCTTTGTCCTGTTGAAGAATGAGAGGAACGTACCCTGAACCAACCCGCTCCCGCTGCTGTATCCGAACAGTTGATGTCCCAAACGTGGATGCCGGAACCGTGGATAGCCTCTGCTCAGCGTCAGTATCCCCATCTGATAACGCTGAATGAATAACATTGGATACTCACGCTCTATAGTCCCAACACTCGTAGCCAACGAAAACACCAAAGCAGCCAAGATACTCCAGTCCGTGGGCCCCAACACTCGAATGATGACGCCCCTCGTGTATAGCCGCAACCCAACAAGAATAGCGGCTATGAGCCAGCAAATAACGCTCGAAGCGTAAATGTTTGGCCTCAGGGAATCATGTGCTCGTTCATTTTCTGGCGGCCAGGTATGATACGGGTCGCATATTTCTGCTGGTGCCGTAGTACTATTCGTAGTACTGTTCATCGTACGCGAATGTAGATCGTTTCCCGTTGTTGTTAATCAAGGCCCAAGTCTGATAACCCAACCTCGACACTGTCTCTCTGTTGTCTGTGAAGATCGAGAACGGTTTGAACACTACCTTAGCTTCGTGGGTAGTGGAAGGGCTTCATGAGAGGGGGAGTCCGGGGGAAGAGCGGATACAAGTATGGCCCCGAAGCCACCAGTTAGGTAGAGACCGGGAGAGTAGCAGCGGAAGTTGAAGCCATTTCTGGGGAAGCATGGTAACCCCCAATGCAACGGTTGCTGCTTGTTCGAGCCTGGTACTGGACGGGAGAGACGCAGTTGGGAAGCTCCCCGATAGTACATAGCGGCAGTCCAGGCTCAACTAGCCTTCACCGGTGAGGGTCTTTCCGCTCGTGACAATGTTGGAGTTGGTGGTGCCATGCGGACGGGCTTTGACGCTGACACTGGACAGGTCGTCCGGGGGAGTTGAGGTCGAGTTCTTGGCTGGGACTCACTTGAGCATCGTGAATCCCATGCTAGAGATATTACTCATTTGAGTACCTGTACTTCATCTGGCCATGTCGAAAGTTCAGACATGGTAAACATCTGTGGAGTTTTCTGGAGATCTCGTGAGTGAGGTTTTTTCAGCTCATCAGAAGCCTAGACTCGGACTCTGACCCCATGTCTGAAGCGATCACAAGGAAAAAGAAAAAGAAATGACAGCCTCGAGTCTGTGCGGCCGTGGGATTTCGCGGGGTGTTGGCTGTGGCTCAATGTGTCTCAAAAAAGGTGGCAATTTCACGAGACACTTTCCTCTTTCTCTCCTTCCTCTCAGAAAAAGCCCTATTTGTGCCAGATGAACGAGAGATGAACCCGAGGCGGAAGTTGGAACGGAAGGTGCAAAATGCTGGGTGAGTGAGATCCTGCCGTGGTTGTATTTTGCAAGCGCACAGACGAGAGCGGCTCGATGCGAAAGCGAATAGATTCCAATTGGTCAGACTTACGACCAAGTGGGGACACGGGAAAAGTGGAGAGTGCGGAGAAGTCCACCATCGCTGTCGGTGCCTGGACCGCCGCCATGGTTTGGGCAACTTCAGGAGGACACATCCCAGACACTGAGCCCTACGAGGAAGGAACACTGGCCGGGAACATGTCGACAAATATCTCATTTCTACTTTACCATCCCGCCGGTTCTGTTCTACCCGGAAACTTTTGGCCCGCTTGGTTGTTTCTCCCGTTTCTGATGTTTAATTTCCCCCACCATTAATGCTCAATGCACCCTGTTGTTCTTCCAGAAGCTGTCATGTGAAACGGCTATTGCCTCAGCCGTGTAGCCACTGCAGACCAAGTGGTTGGGATGAATCGAGATGAGGGAAGGTGAGCTCGGTGAGCCAAGGTTCACCTCGGTGTGTTGACCATATCCAAGTACTTGGTCTTCACTCACCTTTCACCACGCTTACTCACTTTCAAAGACTAGTTTATCGATCCAAGCATCTTGTCTCCACGGTCAACAGCTTAATTGGCACAATGTTAGCATCCTACTTATCCCGGCCCAACGGTTGGGAATTCAGGGAAAGAGGGTTCGGGTCTAAATCCAAAGTGGACACACCATGGAGATACTTACCAACTCCGGACTGCCAACTCATCAACGCTTAGAAATCTCAACGCTTAGAAACCTCAACGCTTAAAGGCGTTGGTCAGCGGCTAACAGCGTTGAGCCACGCTCAAGATATATTAAGCACTCCATAGACCCCTATATTCCCGTTCATGAGCATCAACATCACCCGCAATAACACCCAAGATGGGCTCCCACCAAGTCAACGATGGTAAACCCATCCTCCTCTTCACCAGCGTCCCAGCAACTGGCCACATAACTCCCACCCTCCGCATAGCCTCCGCCCTCCACGCTCGCGGCTGGTCCGTCTTCTACCTTGGTCCTACCGCCTACAAGGCCACCATATCCGCCACGGGAGTCCAATTTCTCCCCTTTCTCGACGACGCAGATTTTAACGAGTGTGAGTTCGTTGCCTCCAAGAGGGCCACCACCGACAAAGATGCAGTGGTCCAAGATACTCCCAAACCAACCTGGCGCGACCGCGTCTTCGAAGACCTACGGTGGCTCTTCACCTCCCCCATTCCGGCTCGGCACCGCTCCCTCGTGGCCGCCTTAATCCACATCCACCAGCTTTCCCCTTCTGCTCGAGTGGTGGTAGTAGCAGAATCAATGTCCAACGTCCTCCTCCCTCTCTTCCACTCCGCCCCCCTCCCCCTTGACATCCCCATGCCAATCGGCTCCATCGCTGTCAGCGTTATGGTCCCTCCCCTCCGGTCTGTGGACATCCCACCACTTATCTCCGAACCCGTCGAGTTTGGTACTACTTCTGCTCACCGAGAACGGATCGCCGAGACGTGGAGGGACTGGGAGGTGGAGACAAGGGATCTGAAAGAGCTCCTGGTGGAGAAAGTGGAAGAAGCAGGCGGGAAGGACTTTGCCAAAGCCATGGAGGCACGCGAAAGGGAAAAGGGTCGGGAAAGCTGGGCGTACTTGAGCGGGGAGAATTTTGTCGGGTATGATCATGTTTGTCAGGTTGGTGTCGAGAGTTGGTTTTACAAGACGGAAGAGGGGTGGCCGGGAAATTGGAAGTTTGTTGGTGTGGTGCCGAAGTCGGTGCCTGTTCTTGACGAGGCAAAGCAAGTGTTGGTGGATGAGGTCAAACTGGCAAGGAAGGAAGGGAAGAAAGTGGTGGTGGTGGCGCAGGGGACGGTGGAGATCGATCCGAGGCAACTCATCATTCCGACTATCCAAGCTTTGGGAGGACGAGAAGACACTCTGGTGGTGGCCATCTTGGGACACCGCGGCCGAAAACTACCAGAGGACGTGGTAGTGCAGCCTAACGCAAAGGTGGCGGACTACCTCCCCTACGACGCCATCCTCCCCCACGCTGATGTATTCGTCAGCAACGCCGGCTACGGCGCAGTGATGCATGGCATCGGTCACCGGGTGCCGATGGTTGTCGCAGGAGAAGAACAGGACAAGGCGGAGAATGCTACGAGGATACAGTGGAGTGGACATGGGGTTAAGTTGACCAGGTCGTGGAGAGATGGGGACGAGTATGTGAAGGAGTTAGGGGAGGCCGTTGAGAAGATTATGGACGAGGAGGAGGGGAGGGAAGTGAGGAAACGGGCCAGGGAACTAAAGGAGGAGGCGGACAGCATCGATTGCATCAAGACAGTCGAGGACTGCCTATCCTCCTACTTGTAATCTATTACCCATAAACCAACCAACTATAGCTTACTACTCCCCTTCCCCTTCTTCTCAGGAGCAGCAGCCATAGCCATAGCCTCAGCCCTCTCCATCACCTCCAAATCCCTCGGCACCCTCACCGCCGTCTTGACCACCTTCTTCACCACCTCCCCTCCCTCTGTCTGTTCCTCCTTCACCTCTTCCACCTCCTCCTTCCTGAAATCCACCAACACCACCCTCTCCACGTCTCCTCCCCGTCCACTATCCATCAACTCCTGCCCCGGCTTCGCCAGTCCCAGAATCACTCGTCCGTTGCCATAGCTCCCCTGCTTAGCAAAGCTCACCACTTCAGGACTCATGACCTTCTCCGCCCACGGAATGTCGGAGGTGGGATGCTTCACTGAACTCGTCGGTACCCGGCGCAGGAAGGAAATCAGTTTCTCGCGTTGCTCGTCGTAGTTTGACGATTGCTTAGGCAAAAACCGGCTGATCAACGTCAAAAGGTAGAACTGCGGCGGGTACAGGATGATTTCGCCCGCGGAGGCTTTGGCCAGCCAGGTGGAAGGGGAGTCAAACAGCGCGGCGGTGTGTTCTACGCCGCCATCGTGGGTGGGGGTTTGGACCACCGTTCTGGTCTGCGATTCGGCGGTTGTGGTGTTCAGGGGAAGCATGTAGAGGTACATTTGCGTGGTGAACCGTTTGCGCTGGTTTTGGGGCGTGATCCAGCGCGTGAAGGGGATGAGGTTTTCTGTTTCTTGTTAGCTACTCGTTCCCTCTTTCCCTCCGTCTGTTGTGACCAAGGACCAAAAAACAAAAAGAACGGAACTCACCAATATCCGCCTCCCCTCCCTTCCCCTCCAACCAAGCCGTAAACTTGACCCGATCCCCAAACACCTCCCTCCTCCCCTCCTCCAACTCCTCCTCACTCAACTCTAGTAGTCCCCCACCATCTTGCCGTCTAGCCAGTAATATCCCACTCTCCTCAAACGTCTCCCTCACCGCCGCCAACCGGTACGCCTCACTATCCCTATGCAACTCCGCATCCTTCGGCAGCGGGTAGTCATCGCCCTCGTGAAATGAGGAGAGGTTGCCGCCGGGGAAGACGTGGGCGGAAGCGAAGGAGGTGGATTTGGCGACGCGGTGGAGAAGTAATACTTGGTTGGCGGGGGAGAGGAGGATGACGGAGGAGGAGGGGCGGATTGGGAGGGGGCCGGTTCCTGGGGCCTTGTTCAGGGGTGGGATCTCTGCTTTTGGGAGCATGGTGGTGGTGAAGGTCCTTGTTGGTGTTAGCGATGGTGATGTCGTTTGAGGGTTGTTGTAACGGTGGGTGCGGGATCTAGATGCGAGTAGGGTCCTGCGGGCCGGATGTTGTGTGAGTCGGGTTGTACTGAGTGCGCGGACGTTGCTGCCGATGCCACTTCGAGTCGTGAAGCGGAGACAAGCTGAACTCATGGCTTTTCGTTGCGAGGTGCAAATACGGTAACTATGATTTAAAGTGAATCTGTGTCTCTTTTCAATGAAATGACTATTCCCGGGCAAATGCCCTTCAACCTCGGTTCGTTCGTTGGAGTTTGTCTTGTGTTTACTTAATCCATTCCAGGTTCCCCGCATCCGTCAGCCAAGACATTTGGCCCTGAAAATAGTGGCTCCACAAGCGCCCCTTAGCGCACCGGGGTTTCGGCTCCGCTCCGTTGTGGGGATGCCGCTATCCCCGGACCCGGGCATCGGTATCCACTGCCGGCGGCATCACGGCATCACTACGACCATAACCGACATGGTCCGAACTGCCTAATCAAAAGCAAACAACACACCACGAAAAGAAGCCGAAAAAAGAAAACGCCAATTGGTGGGTAAACCGAGGGCCTGGCCGCCTAATCCTAACATCGCCCATCTTTTGATCGGCGTTATGGATTCAAGTTGGCAATTATGCACCCGTGGACGCCAGTGCCGTAAGAACACCTGGGATCCTTAAAACCTTCGTTGATCTAGTCGAGGCGAACAATGCTATACAACCATTAAAAGCTTGTTGTGCTACGCTGGGGATGGCTCATATAGCGAAGCTGTTGTGCTCACTTGGGAACGCGAAAAGAGAGAAAACAAAAAGAAAGAGGGGAAAAAAAAAGGGGTAACAATGACCGAAAAAAAGTGGCCCGCGCCGGATTCGAACCGGCGGTTTACTGATCCCCCAGGTTAATTCCTGGGTAAAGCAATCTCCATAGACCAGGCGTATTACCAGTTACACCAGCGGACCACGGGAAAGAGTGCCAAGGACCTGCACTATATACCCGTTGGGTTGGGACTTGGGACGAAGGCAGGTAGAGAACTCGAAGTAAAGGCGAGTGAATGAACGGGCGGGCTTTGTCTCCTCAGGTCATACCCATCCCGTGCTCCTTGTTTTGCTTTTTTTCCGATCATCAGATCACCCTCCAGTCACTTCCCAATTGCGGTAGGGGTCCCACCACCTTCAACGCAGGTGCGTGTGGTGGTGCACTTCAAGACGGGAGGCAGTCATATATCACCATGCCGTTGTTGTATGTAGAAGCTCCTCGTACTTCTACACACAAGAAAGCAAGATGCCACGATCATGAACAAGAACAACACGATCACCCTTCACAAATCCCTCGCCAACCCCCTTTTATAAGCCTCCAAAGCCCTCTCCCTCGCCCCCGAATGTTCCACAATCCCCCTCGGATAACCCCTCTTTTCCAACTTCCTCTTCACCTCCTCACTCCCGCGTCCATAAGGATCATGCACCTCCCCACCCTTTCCCCCCTTCAGATCCCTCAACTCCTCCACCCACTTCTTGATATACTCGCCCTCAGGATCAAACTTCTCGCTCTGCAGCAAGGGGTTAAACACCCTAAAGTACGGCTGTGGATCAACCCCGACAGAAGCAGCGAATCCCCACCCCCCGTTGTTGGAGGCGAAGTCGCCGTCGATCAGGTGCTCCATGAAATAACGCTCGCCCATGCGCCAGTCTACTAGTAGGTCTTTGGCGAGGAAGGAGGCGACGATCATGCGCAGGCGGTTGTGCATGTAGCCTGTGGCGAGGACTTGGCGCATGGCGGCGTCGATGATGGGGAAGCCGGTGCGTCCTGAGGTCCAGGCGTGGAAGTGGTCGAGGTTGTAAGACCACTCGATGTTGGAGTAGGTGGGTTTGAAGGGTTTATTCATGCTGCGGTGGACGGTGTTAGTGGGAGCTGGATACCTTGTGACAGGAAGGGGGGGAGGGAAAGGGGGAAAACGTACCAGACGTAGGGCCAATGAACCAAAACATGCTTATAAAACTCCCTCCACGCCACCTCCGACATCCACCTCTGAATCCCCTCGTTCCCGCCATTCAGCCTCTTGGTATTGTTCCTATCCCTCGCCGTACGTATCGCCATCCTGGCGCTCAACGTCCCCGAAGCAAAGTGCACTGAAAGGTTACTCGTCCCCTGCTTGGCCGGGATATCTCTCCTCTCTGCATACTTGCCGATATCCTCGTCGCAGAACTTGTCCAACCTTTTGAGTGCTTCGTGCTCGCCTGCTGGCCATAGAGCGTGGTACCGAATCTTTTCGTCATCTCGCAGTCTTTTGCCCTCTGGGGCCTCAGGGATAGAACAAGTGAAGAGGTGCCCGTACTTCTCCTTTATGCCGGGAGGGTTTGGTCCAGGCTTTTCGTATATCTCCAGACACTCCGGGTTCTCCTCCACGTGCTTGATCCACGCTCGAAACCAAGGGCTGTAAACAGCGTATTGCCCTCCGCTTCCACTTTTCAGTGCTCCTGGCATAACAACGCAGGTATCGTGCACCACTTCCGCCACCATCTTCTCATCCCCCTCCCCCTCTGCCAGCAGCCTCACGAGCTTAGCCTCCCTCCTCAACTCATCAACCTCATACTCCATCGCACAAAACAAGTGACTGGCTCCCCAGCCCTTCATCAACTCCCTTATCCCGTTCGGCACCTCTTTGCGTTTCTCCACGGTCTCCACCCACAACGGAATTCCCAACTCCTCCAAGTCCCTCTTCAACACCTCTAACGTCCTCAACATAAAGTCCACCCTTATGGGAGCCCTCAGATGCGCTTCCAGATCCTCCGGACTCAACACATAAAGACAGATCAAGGGCACACCCGCATCCTTAGCTTTCTGACTGGCTAGCCAGAGAGAGCGGTTGTCGTGCAGCCGGAGATCCATTTTGAACCAGTGGACTACCGCTTGGCGGACTGGTAAGGACTTGCGGAGGGCGGCGGTCTCAGCTAGTGCGGCATAGAGGCTTTCGATGGGCCGGGGCAGCTCGTTGTCGTTATAGGCTTGCGCTCGCGCGTTGGACATTTCGTGCGGGTAGAACTTGCGGAGGACGATGCCGTGGGTTTCGGAGTCCTTGTAGAAGGGGTGTGGTGTCCGGAGGGGGTCCGAGGAGGTGTTAGGGTTGGTGGGAGGAGCATCGGTGGTGGTTTTGCGCTTCTTGTCGGTTGATGGGTCGCCGTTGATGCGTGAGGTTTGAGGCGGCGCTGAGGCCTTGCGCTTGGAGGGCGCCATTGTAGATTTGGGGTTCTGAAAGATGTTGGTTGATGGGAAGACGCTTGTCTTTGGTGTCGAGATGCGGATGGTGCGAAACATGGAAGTTGAATGAGAAAAGCAGAAAGGAAACGGAAATCACTTTGGCTTCACCAGAACTACTTTTGTGATGCGCGTGTGATTGGAAGGCGATGCTTGGTGTAGTCTGATCGCTCGATCTCTGCGGTACGTCATGGTGTTCTTGAATCGAGACGGATCGCGCCGCTTCCGTTCCAGTTGCTTTGTTAGCGCATCGCCAGCGGATCTCCAAATGCAGGGACATGCGGGTTTCCATGGCAATTTTGGGACGAACGAAAACAACGAGGATGGAGAGACAATTCAACAGGATCCGTCTAAAGCATTTATTGGGAGGAACTTTCCTCTCTGATATCGACTGCCTTGCAAACGGACTCCCCTCTCAACATGTCGGCACATATCACAAAACAAAACATAGCAGCCTCTTCTTAGGGAGATTGAAACACAGCCCTGGAGAACTGGACTTCCAGGCCGTGGAAACACAAGGATAATGACAGCATGTAAGACTCGTATCTGTACCATGACGAATCACTCGCTCGTCACAGCCTTTCAAAGCCTCGATCTCAATCTGCGGCATGGAAGCTATCAAGGTAGCTCCAGAATCCCCAGCCTCGAGTATTGTAACCCGGGGAGACTTGTCTAGCCGGGGGATGTGTGTGTTTTGTGTGTATTGTGCAATATCACGGTCGGTTGGATTCGGTGCAGTATCACGATCGGATGTGAAATGTTCGGTATTGGCGAGGAGGAATCGGTGGACGGACGGTATGCGGACGTAATTCGTTCAGATCATCAATGCCAGTGTATTTTTCCGAATGAGAAACAATATCCTTCTGACGCCATTGAGCCTTTGTCAATCAAAGATGCATTTCCGCAAATCCCAGAGTTTCCCAACCCAATCTCGTGGTCCCGCTGCCAGTAGTTGTTCGTCCCAAGTCGTGCCTGTTTTTTCCCACAGGTCGTTCTTGTGTCCAGATCGATCATGTCGGATATTGTCTGAATTGGTGGGGTATCATATCAGCAAAACTGATAGTTGAGTGGTGATTTCGAGTCTCCGTACCATTGCCTCATTCGTTCAAAAACACTCCAGGCACTTAGCGCTGGGGGTTCCAGACGGCCTTGAGGAGACCATCGCGCTGGGCAAGGCGGTTGAGGGAGTCGTCAGACTCGCCCATGGCGCGAACGAAGCCGGAGAGAGCGTAGATGATGTTCTCGCCCTGGATGGCACGGCCGTTCTCGTCGACCTTGGCGATGGTGATCTGGCAAGAACCGTGGTCCTTGGACTTGATGATGCGGCCCGTCGCAGAGCACTTGCGGGGGACGTAACTAGACGAATCCCTCCATTAGCATTTCACAAGAGACAAAAAATCAACATGGGGGCGGCATACAGGTCGACAATTTCGCCGCGATCGTTCTCCATTTTGGCTGTCTTTGGGGGTGCTGAGACTGCGGTTGGGGGGTGTGTGATCTGGTGACGAGGAGCGGGCAACAAGCGCAGAATTTCCGACTTGGTCAACTTGAATTTCGACACAAAAACGCAGTTTGGTGTGCAAGCCCCAAATGTGGGCTGCCAGAGATGTGCACGGACGCGTTTTGAGAGTTTATGTGGCTGGTGTCTGTCACTGGGTGTGGCTGTGGTTTAGATTTCCATCTCACAAGTACCTTGTACCTGCACTAACAACGGAACGCCTGCACTGTCAGCTGATAGCGCGCTGTGGTCGTGATCTTGGGTCCCTGCAAAATGGAAGCCGTAGAGGTTCCCATCGCCAAGTTGCATCTGCTGTGATTCACGCGGCGCATCCAGTCGCCAAGTTGCCCCGAGCGTGCATCACCAACTCAAGTCCACATTTGCGCCATTGCCTACCTCTACTCGACTGGCCACATATGGAGGAGACTTGGCACTCTTCCCATTATCACCAGTTCGAATGGCGCATAATGACACGATAGACATCATCTCCTCGTCGCCCGAGTTCCCAGACATCGGCGCTCTAGTCGCAAAGGCACCACCCAAGACACCAGCGCTGCGAACCGGCAGTAATGCCGCACCCATTCCTAGCGATGCAGTCGGACTCGGAAACTTCACAAGTGCTGCTAGCATCTGGCGCTTGTCGCAGGTCGTGGAGGAAGAAAAGCCTGCACAAAAGTCGCCACCTCAGCCAACAAAGGAGACTCGGACGATAGCAACATCGGTGTCGACAGTCGCGGTTGAAGTGTCAACAACAACGACCGCCGTGTCTGAGAACAAGCCAGGAAAGAAACCCAGGAAGCCGAGGAAAAAGAAGGACGAGACAACAGCCACCGACGAGAATGCACCACCTAAACCACCAGCAAGAAGGGGGAGGCCACCCAAGCAAAAGGACGCCGATGGACAGACTGCCTTGCCCGAGTCCAAGGTCACGAAACCAGCGGCAAAACCACGGGCTTCGAGGAAGAAAGCTGAGACAGCGAGCAGGCATTTTGCCGGTTCTGATCATGCTTCTACGGCCGATGCTCCTGTCCCAGAGGAGCCCTCGAAAGCTCCCGCTGCGCCGAAGCCTCCCAAACCTGTCCCCGTACGGATCGACGATGAGCCAGTAGACCTAGAACCGGCAGTAAGAAGAAGACTGGATTGGACGCCACCGCCAGATGACAGACCACCGCCAGATGACAGACCACCAGCAGCTGCCGGCAACTCGTCTACTGTCAAGGAGCTACCGTCCTCTACGACTGCCCATATCGAACCACCAGTGGCTTTTGGAAAGCTCTTGGATACGTACGGCTGTAAACCAGAGAATGATCAGCCGAGTGAAGTCACTAAAGTTGATGTACTCGGGAAGAGGAAACTGATCGAGATGGTCGCTACCACTACGACTACGACTACTACAACAGACAAACCCACAAGTCCAGAGACGTCCCCAACCAAGCCCAAAGCCCCCAAGAAGAAGCCACGCACAATCACCGACCTAGCAACGGCCGCCTACCGAATACAAGACCCAGTCGACGATTCCACATCTACTTTGACATCGAAACAAGACACTCTCCTAGGCTACATTGACGTCGAGGACGACAAGGCTGCTACCAAACCAAGTGGCGCCAAAACAAAGGCCGCCTCCAAAAAACCAGCAAAGCCCCGGGTCTCCAAGAAGAAGCCCGAGCCTCGCAGACAGCTGTTGCTCTCTCCCAAGAGCGCACTCAGGCAGGTCTCTGGTCAGGATTTCGTCTTTGGCACTTCAAGCCAGCTAGTGACGGAAGACACTGACCTCCTTCGTGCTTTGCACGAGTCGATGAAGACGGCGGGCAACGCGCCGAATAGCGATCCAATTACGTCGAGCCCGGTCAAGTTCAGCAGTCTTGCGAGCAGGCGCAAGATGGGGAACAACAAGCTTTGGAAGGTTGGGGCTAGGGACGAGGATGGTGACCTGTTGGATTTGGAGGTCTTTGACTTGACTGAAGCTGTGGAGGTGCCAGAAGATCTGTTACAGCAAGCTCACAGACCGTCTGTTGGTGTGCGCGAAGATGCGAAGCCTGGAGAACGAGTCGAGAGCAAGGCGGAAACAGCAATCGAAATATTCCCATCCGATCCTGTCGTCCCCGAGCGGCCCACGGTTACGAGACCCGAGACTCAGATCAGTACTCTCTCAACAAAGGGAAAAGAATCAGTTCTCCATACTACGAAGCCTCCACCGCAAAATCCCGTTGCCCCTCCGCGAGCGAGGACACATCAAAGAGTACGTTCGCCTTCCCGAGAGAGTTCTTCTTCTCGACTATGGAGTCCTCGAACAAAAACACCTCCAAGACCGACCACACCTCCACGAGCAAGCGCTGTGCTCGACTTCGATTTCGACTTTGACGACTACGAACCACCACCAAGTAACCAAGAACACTACCAGCTCCTTGAGCAGTCCCAGAAGAGCCCTTCCAAGACACAGCAGCAGAGACAGCAGAAAACCCAACAGCCGCAGAAAAGGATGGACCCTCCGCCCCGCCCTAAATACGAGCTCTTTACTGACGCCCAACTGAGCCGAGAGATCGCTTCTTTTGGATTCAAGCCGATCAAGAAACGTGCGGCTATGATTACTCTCCTCGAACAATGTTGGGAAAGTAAGACGGGGGCAGCTACCGGCACAAGCACAGGCTTAGGTAACGATAAGTTGCAGGAAGGGACGAGGAGTTTGGAGTCCGGTCACCGATCGGTGGATCCTATTGCAGTATCTCCGAACCGTGGGAGGGGCCAAACTATGAAAGACGCAGCCATGCATGAAGCAGAAGCAGGAATAAAAATTGTTGCGCCGGCGCCGAAAAGACCAAGGGGACGGCCGAAGAAGAAAGAGGCTGCGATTGCGTCTCCTCCGCGCACCACCTCGGACAAACCACCAAAAGCAGCAGCTGCAGGAGCAGCACACCGGACAGCAGCAGCATCAAAACCAGCAACTGCACCATTACCCGTGCTCTCCGCATCAACCCCCAAGCGCCAACGCCGCACCTCGTTATCTCCGATTCGCACCCGCCCAATCATCCTCGAAATCCCCGACTCCGATATCGACGATTCCGATTCCGATCCGTTCGCCTCCTCCCCACCCGCCTCCTCACCCGATGCCTCCCCCTCCGCATCCCAACTTTTCTCCACCCCCGAAAAACACCAAGATCACGAACACGATCCGGCAGAAATGTCCCTCTTAACAGAGTGCGAGGAGTCGCTTTTGGACATCACCTCCACACCCTCCGAGGATGATCTCTTCAAACACATAACCGAAGCCATCACCACCGCTCCCCGCACCACCAACCCTTCCGAGCCCTCCTGGCATGAGAAGATTCTCATGTACGATCCCATTATTTTGGAAGACCTGACGGGGTGGTTAAACACGGCCGGAAAGGGATTGGATAGAGTCGGGTGGGAAGGCGAGGCGGGCACGGAGGAGGTGCGGAGGTGGTGTGAAAGTAAGGGCGTGGGGTGGGTGTGGAGGGAGGGGAATAGAGGGCAGGTGAGGAAGAGGTTCTAAGGGGATGGGGGATAAGAGGAAGTTTGCGTTGGTTGACATGGAAGGAAGGGGGGCGGGACGATGAGGGTTATGATGTTTTTCCTTTCAGGTGTTTGTTGGAGAAATGGGAAATGACTGACTTCAGCTTTGGGTATCAGCGGGTTGGTGGAATGTGCATGATGAGGCCTGTGTTGTGGAATTTTTTTGGCGGGCATCCGCTGGTTAGGTTGATGCAGCTGTTGACGACATTCACAAAGAAATGGGAACTTGCTGATACTAGGACACAGGCGAGGCGAATAAGAAACTCGGTCTTCCCGCAGGCTACATATATGCTGCACTGTTGACTCCCGGACTTCCGGCATGGCTCTTGAAAGTGCACACTCTGGCCCTGTTGAGAAATTTCAATTTGGTCCTCCTTTTCATCTGCCCTTTCTTTATTCTCTACCTTTTTGTCTTATTCATTCCCCCTAAACACTTTCGATTTCAGACCCTATCGCAAAATTTTCATTATCAACAACTACCTTAACCAACTGCGGATGTTCAGGAAAACCATAACGATGTTTCTCTTCTTCTTTCTATCATGGTTTCTGTTGGCCATGGTGCCAACGGCAACCGGAAATATCGAAATGATCACCACTCGAACAGTGGTCGAAACGGTCCCGGATCCCATGTCGTCCTCCTCAGTTGCAGAGTTCTTGATCGATGGAGAGAAGTCGATTCCTCTCAGACTGACCACTGTCACCTACATTGATGCCGAGAAGTCTACCACCGTGGTACCTGTTATTACTATGTCGACCTCGGTGGATGAGATCGTTCAACAGTCCGTTATCGTCTTGACCGTTACTGGCCCCCTTGCTCCCGAGACTACGAGCTCGTCGACCACCAGCCAAGATGCTCCCACCACCAGCACGTCTTCGTCCTCCTCTACCAAATCGTCGTCGTCCTTCTCTACCAAATCGTCGTCGTCCTCCTCTACCAAATCGTCTTCGTCCTCCTCTACCAAATCGTCGACAACCAGCGAGCAAGGTCCTATCGTCGTTACGTCCGTCTACACGGTTTACCCCAGCACGTCAACCTCGACCTCATCCTTGTCCTCTTCCTCGTCGTCCTCCTCCATGCTGCAACCGGAGCCTAGCACTGAGTACATCACGGTTGCCTCAACCCAGTCCGCCAAACCCGAGATCGTTGTCGTGGAACCCAGGGAATCCGCCCAGGTCGTCACTGTTGTCTCAACCCAGTCCGGCAAACCCGATATCATTGTCGTGCAACCCAAGGGATCCGCCCAACCGGATCCTGGCACCCAGTTCGTCACGATCATCTCAACCCAATCCGCTACACCCAAGGTCATCATCGTGGAACCCAAGCAAGCCACTTCTGCCGTCACCAAAGAAGTGGAACCTACTGCCGTCATGACCACCTTCGAAACCAGCACCAAGACTTCCACAAGAACCCACTGGATCACCCCAACGCAACCCGTATATGCATCCACGGTCGTCGTGACGGCCTCCAACTCCCACCCCTTTGGCGTCGGGGCCTCGCATACCCCCGCCAATTATTACGACCACGACGCTGCGGACGGTGACCCCGGCGGCGCTCAGTGGGCTAAGGGTGTGCATACAAACCCGGAAGACTTGTCGGCGCAGTTTACCCATGCGACGCCGCCTACTTGGCCTACTTGGCCTACTCCGGCTGTTTATGTGCGCGCTCAGGCTACCTCAACCTCCTTGTCTACTGTGGAGGTTACTTCTGTTGTTGATGTTACCTCTCCTGTTGATACTCAGGAAAAGCCTGATATCGAGCCTCGCGACTGGAACCTCCCCGAAGAACCAAAAAGATTCAAGAAGACCACCCTCTCTGGAACCAGAAAGCCTCCTTACCCTACGTACGGTCCCCCCATTACTTGGCCAAAGATTACCCCCAAGAAAACAACCATCACCGGAAAAGGGACCCGCAAGCCGTCCCGGACCCGCAAGCCGTCCCCCAAGCACACCTTGACAACCGCTTCCAAAGCCAAGCCCAGCCAGCAACCACTAGTCTTGACGGTCTATACCACGAGTACACATACCTCATATCGTACCCGTACCCTGACCCACGGCCTTCGAATTGGCGAGAACCAACCGGACCTCCAAGCCCGCAATACCCTCCTCCCTACCTCTACTGCCCTCCCCCATGTCCCGGGCGCCGAAGCCCCCGCTCTCAACCTGGAACCCAAGAGGAGCGATGAGAACAACGACAAGGACGGGAATGTGTACCTTGCGAAGAGGGACTTCTGGGATGGAGTCAAGAAAGGGCTTTGCTTTCTTGTTCTTTGCAATGATGACAGCAGCGAGTCCGACAGGTGGAAGCAGGGGGAGGAGGCACTACAATCGGGGAAGAACAACAACAACAACAACAACAACAAGATGAAGCAGAGCGCGGAGGACCCTTCTTCGATATCTATTACCTCTTACTCTAGCCCTACCGCTGCCTCTGCCTCTGAGTCTGCCTCTGAGTCTGAGTCTGAGTCTGAGTTTGCCGCAGGCGTCACTCCTGCCCCTGCCCTTCATGTTGACCTGGAACCCAATGTGAGGAAGAGGAGCGAGAACAACGAGAACAACGAGGAAGGGAACACGGACATGAATGTGGACCTTGCGAAGGATGGCTTCTGGGATGATGTCGGGCAAGGGGTCAGGAATTTCTTTACGGAGGAGTTCTGGGATGATGTCGGGCACGGGGTCAGGAATTTCTTTTGCGGTCTTGTTCCTTGTGATCCATAGGTGATGACAGATGACAGAAGCGAATCTGAACGGTGGAAGCAGGGGGAGGACTTGGGGACCTTGGCGGGATGTAAATGCTGTGGTATTATTTGGACATGGACTCTGCCTTCCTTTGTTTTTCGTTTTGGTTATGGGAAGGGGGAAGAGAGCTGGAGGTGCCCTGACTTTGACGCTGATGAAAGAATATTGGATAATTAGGAGGGAGATTGATTACCTAGGAATAAGCTCAAGCGTAGCGACAATGGTTTCGGAATATGTGACCCATACACTACTATGATGTGGGCTCAAAATATCTTCCTGTTTTTGTTAGTTTGATAGTTTAAGGTAGTGCGATATGAAAGACTGTTGTTACTCCTCATGCAAAGTCGAAAGCCAGGACACTGGCAGTGATCTTGTTGACATTTGGTTTCGTTGTGCTAAACACGCTGCGCTATCTCAACTAAATGCCTGCTTTACAAAGCTGCTCAGAGTTACATGTAGGTGTACCTGCATGTGGATGAGAGCCACTTCCATGTTGTTCTACACTCTTGAGCATTGAGACATTCACGGTGTCTTGCACGGCCAGATTCCTTCAAGTACTCCTTGACGACGTCTGTATACTCTAGATATCAATCGTCCGTCAGATCGATTTCGATCTTTCCGTTTTCCAACCGGCGTTGCTTGTACCGGGCAGCGAATAGAGCATCGTCCATGGGGGCTTCTCGCTTGATACCTCGGGAGGCATCGTTTTCGGGTTCCTGTTTGATACGCTGTTGTGGGACAGAGAACGGTTAACCTATCGTCTGTCTTGCTGAACGGAACAGTAGATTTGCAGGTTATAGAGGAAATGCTTACCTTGTACTCTTCCTCGGCATCGATAACTTCGTCGGGCACAGGGGTCGGGCGAGAGACGATGGCTTCCTGAATGAGACCCTCTACAACATTGTACAGTACATATAAGCAGCGAGTTTGACGGAACAGTACGATGGAGTTGAGACTTACACATGGTTCGGTAACGGAACTCGAAGACGGCGATGGGTCGGTAATAGGGATCGACAAAGTCTCTCATGCGAAATGGGGGAGGGTTCGCAATGGGTTCAGAATCGAAGCTAAATTGGCATCGGTAAGCTGGACACTCGCAGCTGTTCGTAGTTAACCGTGTGTGCTCTTACCTGACCTTGCTGTCAACGGCTTTACCCTTCAAGTCCTTCTCATGTACTGAGTGGATGAGGGTAGGACCATCTCTGTCAGAAGGAGCTTCAAGGCGGCCTGTCTCGACCGCGAGAAAAAGTTTGACAAGAAGCGTGCCGTACTGCTTGGCCTTCTCAGCTTGAGTACCGTCCCCTCCTTCAACTGAACATGATCATGGATTAGCATTGGCAAACACATTCATCCAAGGTAGCACCACACACTGCACTTACGAACATTAAGGCTTCCGAAGCGAAATTCGTGTTTCTTCCAGCCCGCGGCTTGACTACCAGTTTGACAATAGTATCTTTTGTCCCGGGTACCACTAGAGACTCGCTTCGTCCCAGTGCAGAAACCGTCCATGACACATGTGTAATGGATGTTCGGCCCTGTGCTGAAATCATGACAGTTCATCATATCAAAGATGAAGGCAAAGGGCTTGCCGGGTTTGGCCTCGATGTATTTCAAGACGTAGGGATTTCCATGGCGGCGTCGCCGGTGGGTCTGCTGAATTCGGTGAAAGCTGATCTCTTCGGCGCGCGACTCAACTTCCTCTGGATCGGCGTCGTATTCATGGGCACGCTGGCCATCAGCCTCGACGGCAACCTCAAGCCCCGGAAGGCAGGTGAGGATTGCCATCTTCGGCTAGGGTTGTGCGCTGTGAGTTGTTCGCAGATAGGATACAATCACCTGGTCGTCTTTGTGAAAGGATTTGGGACAGTGGTTGAAGAAGGAAGGACACCAGACATCGAAGCGATACTAGTCTGGGCTTTAAATGCCCAGTTCAAAAAAAAGGCGGGGTGCCCAGTCTTGTAGGGACGGAAGTGGATGGAGGGCAGTGAATGGAGGCCTCGAGCAGTGAATGGAACTGAAAGCAGTGAGTGGACCTGGGCAGTGAATGGCGCCGCTGCGCATCGCCTTCCAAAGCACAAGAACGGAAGACGCGACTGGAACCGGAAAGAACGACGGGAGTCTGGCCACGGCAGGTTCACGAAAGCACGTGAGCCCGGTTCTACACTCAGCTCCTGCGCCACTGCATGAATTCATCATGCACCTGAACCCGGAGCGGGAGGAACCTGCATGAAAACAAGGCAAAGCCGACTTCCATTGTCCGTTGTGGTTGATGATGACTGACTTCGCAAAAGCAATTTCTTTTTCAATTGGAACCAAGAGATTCCGATGCTTCCAGATTTCTAAATGAGGAAAACAACCCAACAATGGATCGCATGTCCTTCACAGAGTGCATTCTAAGTGTATATAAAAAAAAGTCGATACCGATCTTTTGTGCTTCGGCATTGTTGTATTGGAAAGCAGGTGGTGGTAGCATGGATCAGGTCTGAGAAGAACATAGAGACCGTGTTCTCAGATTAGGTGAGTAAAAAGTCGTCAAGATCACAGACGTCGTTAAGTAAGGTAAGGTATCGTGGCTATATATCGGGACTGGTTTCTCTGAGACCCTATGATGATGGTATGTAGATGGCCGTGGTTGCCATTTATGCTGGCCAGCATCCGCGTCAGCGATTGAAACAATTCAGCAATCAGGATTTTTGGTCGGATTGATTGTATTTGTCTAGAATCGTCAGAATTGCCTTGTTTTACAGCCCGATTGAATTACCTTATTTTAATTGCAATCTCGGATGTCCTTTTTTTCTAGTCCCGGCATACCAGTAATTACACACTTCTATCAGCTGTAAAAGCATCATTATACAACAAAAACGTGGAAAATACACTGAGCAAGACTGGAAATCAGAAAACGAAGCTATCACTAACCCTCTTCCTCTTTTATACTTTCCAACTACTACTAATAGGCCGTCGGAAATAGGCTTTTCACACAACGTTTGAACGGATCCGAGATTCCCAGCCAAAATCGACCCTTAAATGTTAAATACCTTAGTACACAATCTTTGCCAAACAATCAACAATCTGGGCCCGGCCGGCTTGCTTGGGGTTACTGCTCGATTGCTTTTCTTTGCTTACGATCGATTGTTACTTGTTGATTGTTACTTGAATTGTCTCAATCGCCGATCCGCGTCATGCTGTACATGGGCCGCCAGAAAATGCTGGAGACCTGGATTCCAATCGGCAGAGTTGTGATGGCAGACGAGGCAGTGGATGTTGTTAGGTGATTTGAGCGTGAAATGGGTATTGAACATCGATATCTAGCGTGGGTATCTGCCTACATCTATCAAAGCACAATGCCATACCATACCGGTCCTTCCTAGCCGTGCGGACAGACTGGACTAGTCTCTGCGGACAGCTTCATGTCGTTATTAAAAGCTAGATATTGCCGGTGCTATGTGCGGTCACATTCTTTCAAGTAGAGTGATTCTCCTCAAACCCACCCCTAAATCTACACGCACCTTCTATACCCCATTTGACAGCTGATATTTAAATACCATCGTTTTGTATAGTAAAATCGCATTTTCTTATGTCTTCTAACATCCTTACCAAAATTGATAAGTTTATTATAACCGCTAAAGTCATAATACTTTTGTAGTATTGAGTGTAGGTTAAATCTAGCCATGTAGTGTAGTGTAAATCTATTTCTTGTTTATTTATTTGGTGATATTTACCCTTATTGTTTTACTCTTCCTCCTCCTTTTCGTCGTTATTAATTACGATAGAGTTATTCTTATTACCTTCTTTCACCCTCTATACCGCCTAGGGAATACGGTCGTTCTTATCGTTAGTATAACCTTTATTATATTATATACCATTTATTAAATTGTTCTAGTCCTACCTTTTGAAGTTTGCTTAACAATAGTACTTTTTATTCTTTTTAAACTCTTATACTATATAGGTATTATATAGACGACGGAATTTCTCGCTATGTTTGTTAACGAAAGGATTGTCGTACGTTAACCGCTTTTAATATTACCGCCGCTATATAATAGGACGTTGAGGACCGATCTCTTACTTTACTTTTGGTTATAGTTTTGGATATTTATAATAATTTTTACATTATTCTACCTATTCGCTATCCCTTTCGAAAATAATTTTATATAGGGGCTCTATTTTACGAAGTAGATTCTTTATAAAGTAATATAAGGGAGGGGGGAGGGGGGAGGGTATAAGAGGTAGCCTCTTTCTATTATTATATTTCCTTAGCGAAGTAAGTTTATTATTATTCCTTTATAAATAGTTCTAGGGTTTCGTTGTCCTTGGCTACTTGTATTTCCTCTATTTTCCTCTTATTATTTAGAATAAGATATTCCTTTATATCCGACTTTTGAGAATTATAACCGATTTTTAGCCCGTCGAAATGAGTAGCGTCGTCGTATAGGATTATAGGAAGTGGTTATTCTTTAACGGGGAGCGAGGATTACTATATAAAGAAGGAGGAGGAGGGGAGGGATAGGGTAATAAATAAAATAGAGATATTAGAGCTAGAATTTGAGTTAATATTAGTACTTCCTTTAGAATTAGATTTAGAATTAGGGATAATAATATAATTAGTAATAGGGGTGGGTTCCCTTACTTAGAGTGCCTTTTTAGCTACCTTCTTAATTATTTTTCTAACCCGTTGGGATGTAGTTACATTTATAGTATTAAAATCCTTAATATTGTCGTTTAATTTGTATTGTAAATAGTTATACTGTATTAAAGTTTATATAGGAGTAGTATTTTTCGATCGATTGTACAGGGTAAGTGTTTGGGAGCGTTGGGAGGAAGTAGTTTATAAAATAGTTTGAATACGTACGTAAGTAATTTATTAATCGGTATTTAATAGCCATATGACGAATATAGGGTTTTTACTAAAAGCTCTTTACTTACGAGGGCGGCCTTTAAGTATTATTTTTTTTAATTGCTTTAAATTGTAGATCTTTATCTATTAAATCTTATTAGGGTAATTAATATAGGGAATAACCGGTTGAGGGATATAGGGGATAGGGAAGTCCTATTCTAATTTGGTTTAAATATTAAAAGGGGTGGTAATTATCCTTAGTAATTAAAACTATACTTCCTTTTTAAGTAGTTAATAATTCTATATCGTATATATAGGGCAAATTATATTACTTCTTAAAAATTCTAGAGTAGGGCAGTAGAAGTTTACTATTAACGGTTACCCTATTGCGTATTAAGGGTAGCGTTAGTACTAGTTAATTATATTAGAAATTAAATTAATTTAATATTTACAACGAGAGTTCTATAGTATACGAATTAAGTTAATTAGTATTATTTATTTATATCGTACGTATATATGAAGTAGATTTGTTATTAACCGTTATATATATTGAATATCGGTTATTAATATATTACGAGGCGGCCTTGTAGAGGTTAGAGAGGCTATTACGGGACGAGATATTATACGATTTGAGCGAACTATTATTAAATTCGTTGGGCGATATAGTTTTCTATCCGTAATTAAAACTATTCGTTATATAATAGCCCGCCCAATTATACTTAATAGGCATTTACTCTTTATTAATATACTCCGCCATAATACGCGATTGTAATTGACTGAATTTATTAATAAAGACTTAGTATACCCCTTTGAACTTTTCGACCGTAAAGGTATAAATTATATATTGCTATATAAAGAATAGCCTTGTACGGGTATCGGCGATTTCGTCTTAAATAAGAGGCGGTAGGGTAAGGCTAGTTTTCGTTACCGTACGAATACGCTAATAGGTAATATTTAATTCTTTCGTATCGAATCGATCCTTATTACTAGTAGCCTTATTACCCTAATTACTAATAGCTTCGCGACTTTTTGAATCCAACGAACTATTACGGGAGTTATTATCACTATCGCTATTAAAGTCTAACGACTTTTCGTTTTGGTTATTATTAGATTCGGGGGCGGTATTTTTTAGGCGCCGCTAGTATTTTTTAATAGTCTTAATGATATTATAGTTAATATATTAAATGTATTATTGTAATATAGTATTAGGGAGATTGGTTTATAGTATTTCGATTAAGCGGACGTTACTATTAGTAATAATAATATTAGGGAAGGGAATTCCTATTATATAAGCAATTTATTTAATTTGTGTAATAAAGTACGTGAATTTTCTAGTACCTTTATTATTTAATACTATTTAAAAGATTGGTATTGAGGTTTTTTTTATATGTTAAGACTACCCTTTATACTATAGCGAAGTAGTAACAATTAGTCTTATACGTCGCGTGGATAGATATAGTAAAAGGATTGCGTAATTATATTTTGCGTTGATAGTTAAGAGCCTAGAAGGTACTAGATAGTATAGTCTTTTATTCGTCGTTCTAATTAATATAATGATAGACAACGCTCTCGTTATTTTTAAGCGATCGAATAAATGTTTAAATATTTTAATATCCTTAGTACAATACCCTCTTTAATCGATTATATATATTAGTAATATCCTTATACGTTATAGGGTATTAGGGGTACCGGTTTTTAATAAATAAATAGATAGATCGAATATTAAATTCCTTCTTCTTTAGAAGGGTAGTTACTTATAATATCGCTTCGTTATTTAATTATAGTACTCTTTCCGGCAAAAAAAGATAGTAATCGAAGTGCTTCAATAGTAAGTATCCTACGTAAATATCTTTTATTATTTTAATAGATTACATTTAACTAATAGCGGCCGTTGTGTTAACGAATATTTTAAACGGGTAATCCCTAACTATTTCATAAAATGTTTAGCGGCGTTTATTATATAGGTTCGTCGAGGGTTAATAATAATACGAAGTATAATCGTAATAATAAATATAGCGATTAGTCTTATTATATATGAGGTAGCCTTCATTACGAATTTTATATTTATTCGATTATAGAATAGCGATATTAAATTAATAACGATAATAGAGGGCGGCGAATTCGCTTCGAGCCTCCTCGAGCGTAGCTTTAGGGGGCGAAGGTACGTAGTTGACGGTTTATAGTTCGCGGTTGAACGAGGCGTTCGATACGAAGGTAGCGACCGTATTATTCAAGGGCGCGGGAGATAAGGTATAGCGGCGATAGTTTAAAGGTATTTATATTTAAATTAGCGATAGTACTAACGAGATTTATCGATGCGACGTATAGTTAAGATAGTTACGTACTAGTATTTAATTAATACGTTAGTATAATATATTAGAGTATGCGATGTAATTGTATAATGCGCGGTTAAAAATTACTCCTCTTACCCCAAAAAATCCCTATTATATATTGTATATTGAAAGTATGAAATTTAGCGGGTAAAATAGGTCTTTTAAATACAGCTATCATATGCGGGTCTAGGCTATCAGGGTAAGGGTTTTGTATAGGGGTGATTCAAAAGAAGGGTGCGTGTAAATTTAGGGGTGGGTATGAGGAGAATCACTCTTCAAGTACTGCTGGACAACATCTGAATGCCATAGATAGAGGTAGGTATCAATCGTCCGTCAGGTCAATCTCGACCTTTCCGTTTTCCAAGCGGCGTAGCTTGTAGCAGACCGGAAAAGGGGTCGGGTCCATGAGTTCTCTTTTGATACCGCGGGTATTCTCGGGCTCCGGTTTGATACGGGTAAAGGGCTATTGGGAGATGTGAAGAGGTCAGTACTCTGCTTCTACACTGGCAAGCCTAGCGCCAGACTTGGAGTAGCTCACCTGGTGCTCGTTTTCGATATCCGTGACTTGATCGTCCTCATTTTTGACAGGGCGTGGAACGATGCCCTCGCACATAAGGCCCTCTATGATGACGGGTAAGTTAAGAACCGGCTGGGGGTTGCAATACGGATAGATGGTGTTGTAGAATCGACATACCCATGGTTCGGTATCTGAACTCGAAGATCGCAAAAGGTCGTCGCTCTGGATCGACAAAGCCGAATTTGCCCTCTGTCCATGAGCCAGAAATGGGTTCAGAGGTGAAACTAGATTTTTGAACGTAAGCCCAGTCCTCCAGTGAACTTGCAAGTGCCGTAGAGATAGTTACTTACTGGACCTTGTTGTCCACCGATCTTCCCTTCAATGCTTTCTCGGAGACAGACTGGACAGGAACAGGGCCTTGCAAAGCGCGCTTAGGTTCCCTGCGCTGCAAGACAATGACATGCCACAACTTGACGAGGAGTGTGCCATATTCCTTTGTCCGATCTACTTGTTTCTCGTCTCCTCCTTCCACTTTAGCAAGTGAAGGTCAGCTTGGTGAAGACAGAAAAGAGTTTCTGGTGGATACGATATTGCGCGAGGTCGTGAGGCGTTGATCTTACCGATCTCGAGGGTGGAAAACTGAAACTCGTGGCGTTTCCAGCCCGAATTATTGTTACCAGACTTGTAAGAGCGCATCCTTTTCTTGGTGCCGCCGACAAGCCTGTAGTAGCCAGTAGGAGTACCGTCAAGGAAACATTGGTATTCGACCATGTGTTTCTTGGCATCGGGGCTTGGAATAAAGAAGTTGGTTGAATCAATTTCGAAGGCAAAAGGCTTTCCGGGCTTGGATTCAATGTACTTGATAGTATAGGGAGATCCTGATCCTTGAATGGGCACCTGTGGAATTGAGTAGAAGTTGGTCTCTTTGGCGCGCGCTTCAACCTCATCTGCGGGGGCATCGTACTCTTGCGCACGCTGGCCATCAACCTCAACGGTAACCTCGAGCCCCGGATAGCCGGTGAGGATTGCCATCTTGGTTGAAGCCTTGCTGGGGGTTGCTCTCACGAGGAATTGGCAGATAGGTCGTGCTTGGATGCTTCGGCTGTCGAGAACGGGATGGTAATTGAGGGACAACTTGGCAACGGCGGGGGACTGGAGGGAAGACACGACAGGCGAGGCGGGGTCTCGTATTTCTAGGGCATCGCTCCTGCATCGAACGAGCCCATTGCGCGTCGCGTTCAGACACACAGGTGGAAGGCGCAACTGGAAGGAGCGACGGGTCTGGTCACGGCAGGCTCGCGAAAGCACGTGAGCCAAGTTTTGTAATGCACCCGAAGCCAAAGCGCACCTGCACAAAATGAAGTGAAAACAAACCCAGACTTCCACTGTCTGTTATGGTTCGTGATGATTTCGTAACAGAAAAAACTTGTGAATGGGAATCAAGACTAAAAAGCTGCCCCATCATTGCCGTGACGCTGAACCCCCCACTCCACCACCACCGCCGACCCCATCCACCGCCGTAACGAACTTGACACTCTTCCTCCTCTCTTTATCTCTCTCCCCTCTGCCTCCTCCCTCTGCTTTACTTCCCTCCCCACCATGTCCAGCAAGGCCGCCGCTCATCCAGGCCCCAATCCTCCCCGGACTAGAGCTTAATATCCCCGTCACGCTATGACTCTGAGATCCTGATCCCGAGCCATGCGAAGTCTGCGAATGTGAGTGATGAGCCTGTATCCCACCTCCCGGTCCGATCCCGAATGCCAGACCCGTCTCCCTGACGCTTTCTACTGCTCTGCTTTGTGCCACGGGAAGGGCGTCGTCGGTGCTAAGTAATCTGCCACCTGACTCGCTGGTTCCACCAGAAGCGAGAGCAGAGAGAGCTGGGGGTCCGAGGTCGACGTATCCTCGATCGGCGGCCGAGCCAAGGAGGGAGCTGTCGCCATGGCCAGTGAGGCTGGAATGGCCAGAGAACACTGGTGTCTTATTGCCGCCAGAGAACACGGGTGTCTTATTGCCGCCAGAGAACACGGGTGTCTTATTGCCGCCAGAGAACACGGGTGTCTTGCTCCCTGCTGAACGAGTGTAACTGCTGGCAGCGGTAGCCTCTCGCTCCCTCTCGCGCGCTGTCCCCGCCCGGCTTGGAACTTCGGTCATTGTCTCGCCCATTCTGGAGGCCATACCGTGCCCATGTCCCGTATCGGTTCCAGTACCTCGCGTCCCCCAAGGCAGTCTCATCGGGCCAGGTAGACAGACGTGCCCGCATCCATCTAGCGGACAGAATCCACCACTCGAGGCCAGTTCAGCAGCTGGGTCGTCGTTATCAACTGGTCCATCAACATACATGGCCGAGTCCCGCTCAGCCTCAAACGCTGCGTGCCAAGCTTGCATACAGGAGGAGTGGCCCCCATGCCCGCAGATGGGGCAGAGCCACCATGTTGCGATGGGCTGGTATTCATCTCCCCCTTCTCGATCAGGTTGGAGGGAGGAGATGGTTGATTCCGAGGAAGAAGGGATGAAGGGGGACGAGTCACGGTGACCACAGAGCGCGCATGGGGCGGTTGCAGCTTTACATCGCTTACACGTCCACACTGAATCCGTCGACGCCTCGCTGCGATCCAATTCCCTCGCTTTGTGACAAGAGCTGCAAAAGAACCCGACTGACACGCCGTTTTGCGCGGGGGTGAAGATGGCCGGGTAGTTGATTCCCCAATCTTTCAGCGGATTCTTCTCCTGATCACCGGGCATGGACTCAGCAGCGGCGGCGGGCCAGCCTTGCATGCATAATTTTCTGAGAAGAGCAGCCTCGACGAAGAGTTGGAGACTCATGAGGCGGGAGTGATGCTGCCGAAGGATGGCTGCTGCTTGGTAACTGTCGATGACTTCGTCTGATACCAAAGGCTTAAGGAGGAGGACAATGGCCGAAGCGTTCAAGGCGGAAGACTTGGCTTCAAAGGCCAGAGTACGGGATATCAGAGAGTAAGGGTTCAGCGGGGGTGTAGTACTGGAGAAGGAAGGGGGTTTGTGAAGAGGGTAAGGATAGGCGGGATCGGAGGGCCAGGGCAGGTAATCGCTCTCGATTATGTGGGTGGGTTCTGGTTCTGGTTCTTCGGGGAGAGTAGGGGGTTCGTCGGTGATGACGACGGGTGGTGCGGCATGTATAATGTCATGGTCGTTTTGCGAGGGAAAACTGTCGTCGGTAGTGGATTGGGTGATGGCGTGGTGCTCGTCAGTATAGGCCGTCATTCCCGTTGTTTCGGTCTCGGTGCGGTTGAGCTTAGGGGGCACGACGAAGCGGGGACGCCCGGAGCTGCCCATTTGGATATCGGACGCTCGTTCGGAACCGTCGCTGCCGCGGGGGTAGCGAATCTCGGCGAGGGCAGAGCCACGGATGGGCAGGCCACCGCTGGATTCGACGGAGCTGGCAATGGCTGTTCCGGCTGTTCCGCCGCCGCGGCGACTACCGGCGGAGACGGAGAGGGCGTGGCCGAAGCTGTCATCGGAGTCATGGCGTAAGACGGATTTTCTCGGGTCTTCGGGACGTTTGCGAGGTACGTCGATGGCATTGCCGAGGATTGCTTCGGTGTCGTAGAAATCGTATCCTTCTGTGCTGGCTTGGGTGTTTTCGCTGTTAAAAGAGACGATGGACAAGGGGACAGAGTCGAGACGGTTACGTTTTTGTGGACCGCGAGGTTGGAGTGCAGGGCCGAGGGCAAAACTGCCAGACTCCAGCACTGGCGTCAGCTTCTCAGATTCCGTAACAGGCCGGGCAAGTGGCGTCGGTTGGTTCGAGGTACTCTCCAGCTCTTCTGACAGTAACGACCTAGGATTTGCCTTTCGCGGTGTATCTACTCCATCGGTCTGGACAGACATCTGAAAGGGAGGACCCAGCGCGCGCAGCTTTCCCTCAATCTTCCTCTTCTCGCAATGATCTAATCGACGTTCCAAATGGTATTGCCCTCGCCTTCGCAGAACCAGGTCGATCCAGTAAGCGAGAACACGCCATGACTGGGCAAGTCGGTACTGGTTGACGCTGTCGGCTGTTTTGGCGTAGTGATCGAGGATAGTCCTGACTCGGTCGGGTAGTGGCCTGCCTCCTTCAACGTATGGCAGCTCCTGGTACAAGACCTCCAAATAGTTGACGGTAAGGTATCCGTACACATCGGCTTTCGCAGCGGCAGGCAGATGCCCAATGGCCATGGCTTGTTGAGGCTTGTAGATACCGGTAACCTTGATGGTCTGTTCCAACGACAAGACCTCTTCCGAACCAGTTGGGGGTGTCGTGCTAAGGGTGGCTGACCTCGTGCTTGGACGCCGCTTTCGCTGACTGGTCCGTTGCTTGGGGCCCAGGAAACTTCCGAGAACATCGTCTTCGGAATCGCTGCGGCTGACGCCAAACCTGGGAGTGGTAGGACTTGAGCTATAGGAGGGCGCGCCAATGCTGTGGCTGCTGTCGGCATGGAGCATATGTGGGCGCGGACGATGGGAGGGAGCACGCTCGTCTAGGAACATTAGCACGTCTCCCTGTGACGAGAAGGACATGGTCGAGACGGCTTGACGGTCAAGCACCTTGGGCGCAAAGTTGACATCGCACTGCGTAAAGAGACCATCCTGGCCGACGGTCCATAGAAGATACTGATCGTGCCAAAGTAGAGAGTTGGGTGAACTGTCGAACAGCTGGATCTCCCTATACGGCATCGTGGGGCGCGCGAGATCCCAAATGTGCACCGCATTGATACCAAACTTCTTCTGACTACTCTCCCCATACGACATGGCGATCTGGGAAGCCCTCTTGGCCTGGGCCGTTGCTGACCATTGCCCAGGTCTCCAGGCAAGAGAAGCCACCGGTGCCGGAGTCGAAATAGTCCATTTCGGCTTCTGCCTCTTGTCGGGAACCTTGCCCAGGTGCCAGACATGACACTTGCTATCCCATCCAGCGCTGACGAGATGTTCGCCGTCGGGATGCCAGGCAATCGAAGTACACGACTTCTCGTGGGCGTTAATCCTCAACACGGGCGCATGATACTTACGCATGTCCCATTGGAGGACGGTGCCCTGGTCGGTTGAGCAAGCAAAGACAAAGCCATCCTTGGGAGACCAGCGGACCTGGCGCACGCCGTCTGCGTTGCACTTGTAGGCATGGACTGGACGGAAAGTGGCGCCGGTTCGCGAGGGGATCGGGTTGCGGATATCGAAGCAGCGAACGATGCCGTCTTGACTACCGGACAACAGGTAGCTGGCCCGGTGAGGGTTGACGTCGAGTGTGTTGACCTGTCGAGAGTCTTCGCGGATCTGGAGAGACTCGAGTGGGGATCCGGTAGCCCAGGCCTCGCTGGCGCGCACCAGGTCGTACTGGAAGATCTTGCCACTGCCGCATGCCGTAAAGATGGTCGGGTTGCCGCCAGCAGGACCCCATTTGACGTCTCTAATGGCTAGCTGATCTGGGCTTCCTCCCTGGAGAAGCGAGCGAAGATCGATCCCCTCGCGAATGTTGAGGCCGTCGAAGGTGACTGTTCGTAGAGCATGGCGGCCAGCAAGAACAGCTGACCGGCCATCGGGGGATCTGTCTATACACTCGAGTGGTTGACCAGCCTGGTAGGAGGCATTCTGGGCGGCAGTGGGACGTTGACGATAGTTGGGGATCGAGGTCAAGCCGCCGCTGGGGTTGCTGGTAATGTTGGAGCCGTGAGAAGTGCCATTGGCAACCGAGGACGACGGCGTGTTCTCGTGCGAGTTGTTGGCCGAAGAAGAGTCGGGATTGTTGGTCTTGCCCAGTAGCTTGCGCATGATATTGCCCTGGTTATACATGGCCGCGGTCGGGAGTGTTGTGGTTCAGTTTGTTATTATTATGTAATGTCGTCGTGTGTCTCGCGAGGCCGTGACGCCGTCGAGAGCATCTTCTCTGCTGGTCCTTCAGGGCGCGGCCGAGGAACGTTGGAGGGCGTCAATGTTTGGTGACATTGGGAGAAATGGGATGTCTCGTTAACGTCTCCTCGTTAAGGAACGCGCCGGTGATGTGGTGGTGATATGCCGTGGGATGTTCCTAAGTGGAATGTTTTGGTGGGGTTGATGGAGGGAAGCTATTCCCAGGAATGGTCAAATGCCTGCCGGCTGTCCCCTGCTTGCGGTCATTCTGCCAGCCTTGACCGCCAAGATCTTCCATCGGAACTGCCTGCCGTTAGCGCATTTCGTCTGTTGTCAGCGCGTCAGTCCACTGAAGCTTCCACTCCAGCCTTGCATTTCATCACCAGAGCATTCAACTGTTCACACCCGCATACAACAACCACACCTCAGCCTCGCCAACATTGAAACTCTACGCAACTTCTACCAGTATCAATCTAGACACCGCGAGAACGCAGAACGAGCTCGTCACTTACACCGGGCGCCACCATGAACCCCGACAGACAGGCCATGATTGCCGGCTTGGGCAAAGATCGAGACCGAGACAACAGACGAAACATCACTGCCCCCAGACTCGACAACAACAACCGAATCTCCAAGCCCCAATACAAGCCCTCCTCGAAACCCATCACAGGTTCAAATAGTACCCCAGTCGGCAGCTCTGGCCCCGGAAAATACCTTACCCAGGACGAGCAGTCAGAGCAATTCGTCGCCGACGAAGACAAGTTCGTGCTCAAGCAAGCAAAGAAGAAGGCCGACATCCGCGTCAGAGAACGGCGCGCAAAGCCCATCGACTACCTTGCCTTCAACCTCCGCTTCATCGACACCGACCGCGATGTCTTTGATGACCACGATGACGACGTCGACATCCCCGTGCCCTCTCCCGAGAGAGTCCTCCAGAGCCTGAACGAGTCCCAGCTGAAGGAGTTGGAGGAGGACATCAAGTCATACAATACCCTCGAGATAAACCGCCGCAACAAGGAGTACTGGTCAGCCCTGTCCATTCTGTGTGACGACAAGCGAAACAAGCTTAAACCACAGGGAGCAGAGGGACGTGCGGTCAACACGGTGGCTGCTGATGTCGACAAGATTCTGGCCCCGAAGACGTTGGAGCAGTTGGAGGCGTTGGAGAAGCAGATCAGGGCCAAGCTACAATCCAACGAGCCCATCGATACCGACTACTGGGAATCCCTACTCAAGAGTCTGCTGGTATACAAGGCAAAGGCAAAGCTGAAGCAGGTGTGCTTGGAGATCAAGGCCGCCCGCGTCGAGCTTCTCAAGGCTAAGGACCCTGAGAGAGCCAAAGCGTTGGAACAAGCCGACGGTCTCCCTGATGCGGCCCTCCCGACCTCAGGCCCGTCCAGGGCCTTGAACCGCCCTGCCGCCTCAACATCAACAGCACTCGCTGCATCCTCCAGCAGCAGCACCGCCCCGCCCCCCGGTACCGCTCGCTTCGCCTCCACCGGCAACGAAGACTTCTCCCAAGCCACCAAGGCCCTCTACGACCGGGAAGTCGCCCGCGGCTTCCTCGAAGGCGAAGAGATCTTCACGGCCGAAGAATCCCTGACCTCCAACCCCAAGCCCGTGTGGGCCGACAAGTACCGCCCCCGCAAGCCGCGCTACTTCAACCGCGTCCTGATGGGCTATGAATGGAACAAGTACAACCAGACGCACTACGACCACGACAACCCGCCGCCGAAGGTCGTGCAGGGATACAAGTTCAACATCTTCTATCCCGACCTGATTGACAAGACAAAGGCGCCCACGTTCAAGATCATCAGGGAGGGTGGGAGACGCAGGGGAGAGAGCTTTGCGCCCGCCGGCAAGGAGGATACCTGCTTGATTAGGTTCGTGGCCGGACCGCCGTATGAGGATATTGCGTTTAGGATTGTGGATAGGGAGTGGGATTATAGCGCCAAGAAGGAGAGGGGGTTCAAGAGTAGTTTTGACAAGGTGAGTCGTCCTAGGTTGTGGTTGTGCTGGGTGACGTTGCTGTTTAGCCGGTGGGCTGTTGGTGACGGCGCTGGTTACGATGGCTACGTTGGCCTATTACCACGGCCCCTATAACAGGCCAACGCTATCCTTTTTTCTTGCGCCGCAAAAGCCACGCCACCCAACACCCGCCGGTTACCCGCGCGTTTCTGGCCTTATGGTTCTTTTGCTAACTCGTTACTTCGTGTGTAGGGCATACTTCAACTCCACTTTCAGTTCAAAAAGGTTGGTGATCTGGTCTCCCTTGTGGTCGTACCGGCCAAGGCTAACAGTGTCTGTGCAGATTTACTACAGAAAGTAGAAAGCCCAGGGCGATATTACCACCGCCTTCTGGAAGGCTGGTCCGGCCTGCGGCGAAGCCATCGGCTGGTCTTTTTGTCTGGTTTTTTCGGTGCCGCGTTCTATAGGTCGATATGGGGCCGTAGTAGCTGCTGCGGCCCGTCTGGCTCGATCCCTGCTCCTGGTCTTTGGGTGAACTGGGCGCATTGCCTGATTATGAAGAACACACGAGAGAGCTTCGCAGTGCGGTGTGTGTAAGAAGGGCTGCTACACCGCCAACCGGGGACGACGGGAACGGACACGGGGCACAGATGAGACGATTTCAAGGCTTCGTCTAGAAGGATGGGAAGGATGCCGTTCCCCGGGTAGACCGGGGCATCGGGGCTGGATGCCGGCAGCATTCTGGTCTTTTGGGTGGGTGTCATTGTCTTGTCTCGCGACAGTTGGGCGACACGCCAGCGGGCAGTCCTAGAGTGGAGGGATCATGGATGGAGATGGGACTGGACCGGCTCCTCTATGCCGTATGCGACGACCCGAACTTTTGGAGCTTGAACTAGATCCCTGGTGCGATGGTGTGCGACTGGGTGATTCATGTTTCTTCGGACTGTCGGATTTTGCGAGAAAAGAACGAGATATCCGTTTCCCGTCTGTCTGTCTCTCTGTCTGTCTGGGCACCGGCGAGACACGACCAGGTGTCAGCCCAACCCTGGAGACGGAGAAGTACAGAGCAGTGTCATGTCAGTCGATCAGCCGCTTATCTTGCAGTCAGCCTGCCGGTCTGTCAGTCTTGTCACATGGTGAAGGGAGGAATGTTTCGTTGTCTGGACGTCTGGAGATGACGCAGGGCACACTGCACTATCCAGACACGTTCCACAGGATAGCTACAGTTTGAGGCTTTCTTGAGGCTGGCAGAAATAACCGGGGTGGCTTTTCTCTCGGTCTTCCTCCGTGGCATGGAGATAAGGTGGCCTGGTCTGGGAGGCGCCGGTCATCGTCAGAGACTGGACGTGGAAGCTGGCTGATTCGGAGTCGAATTGGGAAATGAAGCCAAGCCCCGGTTTCGATTCACGCTCATCATTTCTTCGACACATCGTTCTAGAATGAAACACGTCCATGTTCTGCATACCACAAGAAATTACTATTACGAGGCCATGGCACCGTGCAAGCCGTGCAAGCCCGAAGCCGTGTGGAGAGAGATGATGAGATACCGGGCTGAGTGCGCACATCAGTACGCAGTCGACGTGTTGTTCAGTTATTCTTGCGCCTCTTCCCTTGGGACCTGTTGATCTCTTGACCTCTTCGACCGACCATCTCTTGCGTTGAAAACTCCGCCGTTTTTTCCATGGCCCGCCCGCCCATTGAAGGCCCAATGCCAGCACAGAGTGACAATGGTGGACATCACTGATTGGGTCGTTTCAAAAAAGACCACCACTTAGCACCACCACGAGTGGCTGCACCTTTCCGTTAGGATCTGGCTACCGGCCAGCCAATTCTGTCCGTCTTTGTGGCATCTGCCCTCTTGTGTCTGGTCTGCAATGGTCCTAGGACTCGCTGACGACACCGGCGTGCCGCTGGCTGGCTGGAAGCTTCCCATTACCCCAGAGAGAGCCTCACTCTGATACGTCCAAGTCTACTGCCATTGCTGTCGCTGTCCTAACTCATGCTGCCGTCACTGACCGCTTCCACGGCTCCCAGAGTTCCGGACAATAGCTCTTCTTCGCTTCTGCCGGTAACCTTGAGCGCTGGCCAGCCAGGCCCAGTCAGAGGGAGTCACAATGCCCGACTATGAGATTGTTAGAGCTGAACATGTTTTGTCCCCAAGGTCTGGTCATTTCCCCGGCCCCAAACCGAAACCGTTGATTGTGTGGTGTGTGTGAACCATCGCTCGCTTGAAGATTGTTTACTAAACAACAACTTGAACAACAACGACATGGACGACATGAACAGACGAAATCTTCGGACCCCCCTTCCTACTTCCCCTACTTCCCCTTCGAACAAGCCACACTTCAAACTGCATCACGGGCAAGCATGCTTCTCAGTCACTGACCGCCAAGTTTTCCTCCATTTCAGTACTGGCGCCGCCTTTCTTCAACGTCAAGTTACGGTGGGCTTGACACTTGCTGTTAAAGACCTCGGGGTGTTTATACTGCCCGTGTAGAGGTATCAAGTCTTGGCTGAAAGCACCAGGCATACGGAGCAGGGGTCTACAACCCCGGTCGTCAATTCTGTCACTTTTCTTTTTCTTCTATCCGTCTTCCCTACCTTCCCTGCCGGCTCCGCGATGTACGCAGTATGCGAGGATTGTTGCACACACTGGTTCATGCGCAGAAGAAGAAAAGCATGGGCTTGGGTGTTGTTTTGGCCTGCTGTCTGGGGTTGTAACGAGCACCGAGCCCTTCTCATCTCCTTCTCACTGGTACTTCTCCTGAGAGACTAAGGGAGGGGTGTCCATAACACGGTCAACCGGGCGCCGATTGGTGAATGTACCTGAGTACCTTACCTTTCTTACTTTCACCTTCATCCCCAGAAACAAGCCACGCAGAGCTACTACCTAGGTAGTCTACAGCGTCTTATTCTTCAACCCTGCGGTTTCGTTTGTTCTACCTCCTCCACCGTAGAAAACATGCCGTGCACGCATGGCCACACCATGTACACACACAGCAAGAAAGTGGGAGCCAGGCCAGGGCACAACGCCCGCACCCTCATACAAGCCAGGCATAGAAGGTATCGCAAACCCACCCGGTACTCTCTCCCTGCGCCCGCTCCCGCCGGATGTGGAGGTAGATGTCTGGTCCACCAAACAAAAGTGAACAAAATGTGTTGGCAGAATCCTCACTCACTGAGAGGCAAGGCAAGGCAGTGTCCTCCCTTGGGATGTACACCACCGCACACAGTACAACACACTTTGGCCCCCTGCTCTGCTTGGCTTGAGATACCCACCCCTTACTGTTACTGACATGGAGCTTCAACAACATACCCCAGATGTTGCTATCGTCTGCATAGCTCCATGTCCTTGTACCGATCTTCTTTCCCCTGGTCCCTGGTCCTGGTCATCCTGGCAGATATACAGACATAGACATACATACTTCAACTGCCAGTCAACAGCCGCGGGCCAACAGTCACAACCGTTTTGCTTGATAACTGAGACATCTGGACCTCACACCTTCAATATCAAATCTGTTTCTCCCCACACTTGAAGAAAAGCATACATATGCCAACAACCTTCGTTGTCTTGGATCACCAACATCAAAGCCATTCTTCTCTTCTTTCATCCTCGGCTCACATAGCAACGACACATCAGTAATGGACACGGAATTAACAACCAAAAACGAACACCCAACAACATCAGACACAATGGACTCCTCAAACTCATACATGTTGTCACCACAGGCCACCAGAAGCCAGACCAGCAGTCCGGTTGTGGGAGGCATGACTGAAGGAAAGACTCAGAACGGGACATCACTATGGAACGCTTCGGTCCGGGCGCAAACCGGGAGTGACGAGTTCGAGCACTATGCCTTCCACAGCACCGCAGGCTCCTCCTCAGCAGCACCTACAAATGGGCACGGGGGACTTACACAACAGTGTCTGTCTAGCCAGTCATCGCCCCGCAGCTGGAGTTCACCAGACCATCACTTTCGTCCGGTTTCTGCCTCAGGTTCTGGCTCGGGCTCTTCTTGGGGTTCCTACCCGGCGGAGCAGTCATACCCCGGGGCCGCTGGCAGGCAGAACACCCCACAGGTTCCATCCAAGACCCTGTCGAGAGAGAACTTGTTCCAGAGCAACGATTACCACAACGCCTCGACAGCAACTTCATATCCTTCCACCGGTTCCTTCTTCCCCAGTCACCACTACCCCACCCATAACAGCATCTCCTCGCTTTCCCAAGAATCCAACTACCCCCCTTCTCCCTGCAGTTCCATTCCCAACAACTTCAAGCTCGACTGCGACTCAGACATGTTGAGCACCGCCCCCGCCTCCGAGGCCGGCGATGACTTCCTAGTCAGCAGCCAATATCCTTCGTGCAATCTGCTTAGTGACAGCAGCATGAGTAGCATGAGCAGCAGCGTGTCCAGCCCAGTTTCTCCCTCGACTGGCCTTGACAGCACCCCGACTACTACCCTCCCCGGCAACAGCAAAGCCGAGCTGCCCTATGCGCAGCTTATTTACAAGGCGTTCATGAGCACCCCCAACAAGGCCATGACGCTGCAGGACATCTACCAGTGGTTCCGCGAGAACACCGAGAAGGGCAAGAGTGATACGAAAGGGTGGCAGAACAGTATTCGTCACAATTTGTCCATGAATCATGTGGGTTTTCCTTCCCTCTAATCCCACAGTCACCATGACATCAGCTAACACTCACCAGGCGTTCACCAAACGAGAGCGCAAGCCCGAAGGCAGCACCAACACCAACGACGAAGACAACGCTGCCTCCACAGACTCCAACAACAGTGATAGCAAGAAATCCACGGAATGGTACCTCGAGCCTTGGGCAGTCAAAGGCGGCGTCCAGTCCACCACACGCTACCGTAAGGGCAACCACGCTTCGCGACGGGCTGCGGCGGCCTCGGCCTGCAACGCCTCCCGCCGCCACATGAAGGACGGCAAGTACGACTTGTACAGCACCGGCATGTCCACTCGCTCTTCCTCCTCTCTTGCCAACCGCAACAAGATCTCCAAGTCCGGCAACCGCGCTACACTTCGTGGCAACGGAACGGCCCCTGCGGGGTTGCAGATGCACTACTATGGCCACCACATCCCTCACCAACATCACTACGGAGTCAGCATGGTTACTTCCGCCCCTGAGCAGCACTACAACCCGTATATGTCTCCCGTCTCAGCAAGGCCGGCGGTGACGCATGGTCTGCCAGAAATGATGTCTGCTACCTCTGCTCCTTCCTGCGCCGCTGACTTTTACGAGTCCTACACTGATCCTGCCATTCTCGCTTCTTCGCTTGAGCAACAGCAACAGCAACAGCAAGCTCAAGCTCAAAGGGAGGCGTCGGAGCCAATGTCAGTGATGAACGAGCCTATCACCCCCGAGGCCAGCTTCGGCAGCCCTCCTCTCATGGCGACGAATCCCACGAGCAGCAGCGCGAGTTACTACCCCAGCCCTGAGGATCATACCATGAACTTTGCAAGTGCTCATCACCACGCCGGCTATCATCAGCCTCAAGTCTACCAGGACGAGCCCCGGTATGGCCATCACAACGGCTGGGAACATGCCCAGAGCGTGGCAGTTCCTGCTACGGGGATGATGTATGGGCACTACGCATAGATGCTGGCACTTGGGTGCAAGACGACGAAGAGATGGGCGGCTTAATGCTACGACTGTAGGAAGCCAAACTGTACCAACACCAATTTTACGATCATGAGGTCACGACACAACAACACACACAAAAGGCGATACCCAAAAACTTGCTTTTGCTTTACTAGATTCGCGGGGGTTGTTTCCTTTCTTCTTTACTTTTTTCTCTTTTTTTCTTTCGCATTCGCAGCTGCTCGAAAAGAGCCTGGCAGGCAGCGTCAAGAGGTGGGCACTGGGTGGTGGTTGTCACTGCTGCAATGATCTACAGCCAGGGTCTGCTCAGCCTGTCAGGGCAGACCTGCTAGGCAAAGCTTGGACGGGGAAGGGGACCAGACAAGGACAGGGGAAGGACAAACTATTCCTCCATATGTCTCCCTTCTTGGCCTCTGCAGCTCTGCTCCCTCCCAGGCCTGGCTTTCTCTCCCTTCCTTTGCCTGGTGGGTGGGCAGCACTCAACATCAAACATCACTTCTTGCCACCTCCACATTTTATCTACACTTCACTGTTCCGGCTGTCATCTCTTTGCGCACATGTCGAGAGGGCCAGACCGCATAGGTGGCGATGATGAGCTGGACGAGGCTGGACGTGGATGGATGGATGATCTTCTTCTCACTTGTTCTTGCTACATTCTTCTTCCCTTTGTCCTTTTCACTTTACTTCACACATTACTTCCCGCGTTGCCTTCCAGCTTCAAGGATTGTTCATTTTCTGCGCTTTTTACATACCGCTATGAGATACAGGGGATGGGATCTAGGTGCTTTGGTGGTGGCGATTTGGAGTTTCTACGACGGATGTTTTGACTTCTTGCTGCAGCGTTTGTCTTTTTCGTCTTGATTTGCATCTAGCAAGCACAGAAGAGTGGAATAGCGATGCAATTTTCTACAGGTCTGGCACTACTACTAAGGACTGGCTTTGGTGATTACCTCTACAGGAAAGGAATTGGTCTGGCGATACAGGTACGGGAAATGGGACTGGGAAGAACTGGCTCGGAACTGGGAAAATACCTCTAGGTAGAGGACGGAACAGGAACTTGCATTAGCATGTCGAAACTACTAGGTTTTCGACCTTTCTGAATGGAATATCATGGGCTTGAAACAGATTGCATTGCATCACTGGTGAATAAAGCGCATAGTTGACGCGGATCTATCTCAATGGTACTGTTGGTGGCTGGCTGGCTTAACAAGGCTCGTTGGCAGTGATGGACGGTCGGTTGGTAGTTGCCGGGTTGTTGGCGCAAGAAAAGAGCCGGTGATATCAGGGAACGGTATCAACCTCAAGGGATGGCATGCGATGTTAGGCGTTTGGTGATCTACTCGCCAACCAGATTCACGATACCGCATACCAATCTCAGTGCTAGTGAAGCTATTCCCAACTTATTTTCCGTGCCCTGCCGTGCCTGTGTGAAGCTGTGCACATCGTTCGACAATGATGTCGTTAGCCCGCCGCTATTAATATCGCGGTACCGTGTTCGTAAACTAAGGGAAAGCTTCCTCGCCTTCCCGCCAGCCATCGTGAATAATGTCCAATCTATCAACACGATAGCCTTTTCTTTCCCGTTTCGTCTCCTCTTACACCTTCCTCAGTGCACTGAGTATTTCCTTCCCATTCCCCCCACTGTAGGTACCTCTTTCCAACGGCCCCTAACATCAATGACATTAACCAATCACATCACATCCCTTTTCCTCTCACGGTTTCTTCCCCCCCCTTCATCCCACCATTCACCAACGACATCTTCATCACCAACCGCCAACCGACCAATGACAGCGGCACAGTATTCAAGAAATGGCCCCCAACCCAGCCCACTAGCGTAATCAGTAACACTGAGCTCGGCACCGGATGACCCCCTTGTATTCCCGTCAACTGCATCCGAAACGGCACGGTCGGACAAGACTAGCCCTTCTGCACTGCGAGAAGTCAAGTGCCAAGACACGAAGCCGGCCGAGAAGAGACGCCAGTAGCGTCAGGAAAGCCGTCAAAAGGACCCTGGTAGGGCTAGAAGCGGTAATGATGAGACGTTTTTGGCTGTCGTTTTTCTGCGTTTTTCCTTTTTACGGCCCCCAAGGTTGCCGTTATTGGCTGGATATGAAGAAGAGACGAAGTGACGATTCATTGGGGATGATGATGCTCAAGGTTGACCGTAGAGCACTGGCTGGGAAGTGCGGGCAGGCAACATTTCGTGTCATGAAGTCGGTGCCGTTGTCTTGAGAGCCTGTTGAGCGTTCACTAATCACTTACTTACTCTACCCTTGAGGATTTGAAGTGTTTCATCGTCATTTCTGTCATGACTGTCCATCCATGGCCCTGTAAATGGTAGTGTCATCATACCCTCGTCTTGTCCGTTCTCATGCCCGTGTTAGTGATAGCCAAGCTTTTCATCTCCAGTCCAGTTCTTTCCCCAGGATGGTCTATGGGCGCGTTCCAGTTTACCAACAGTTGATCCAGTCTGTTGATCCGTGTACAAAGGAAAATATATAGCTTTTTACAGGGGGCCTCTTGTACCCTCTCGTGCCTCGTGCCAAGGCTTTGGCGTTACAGGGTACTTAGCGCTACAGGGGTTGGAACTTTGAGTTCGATTTGGTCGAATTTGAAGGTATTAAGAAATGGGAAAAAAGGGCTATATTCGATAGCCACAGGTTCAAACTATCGGTGATTCAAATCGCGAAGACGTGCAGCAAAAACTGGTGGAGAGATCATCGATCAACGGTAAAAAAGCAACTTTTTTCTATTTTTTTAGATCAATAGGTTGGGGGCCGTTTGATTACTACTTTAGGCGGTTACTAAGGCCTCATGCAGGTTGAAAAGCCACGCACAAGGGGGTGAATTAGCGTGGTACGTGCCAAGCTCCTGAACAACCATATTGAGCCATATGCAGTATGATCAACTGCATATTTACTACATATCAATAATAGGGATCGATTTTGTATGGGAATCGGATCAACTGGGAGTAAACTGGAACACGCCCTATGTATCACATCACTGCCTGCCGCCATTCCTTCCAGTGGCCAGCTAGGTAGACCAGCTTAGCTCTTACCCTTCCCATTCCCCTTCGCAGATTCCCATTACAGTCCATCATCCCCGAATCCCCGGTTATTGTCTCCGATTAAGTATCCGTGTCCGATTTCCGTACCTCTTTCTGCCCTATAACAGGCCCAATACTACTCCCATTCCGGCCTAGCACAATCTCATATAACAAGTGACAGATGTAGAAAAGTCCAGACTGCACCGAAAGAGGAAAAGTGCCTGGAGGTGCCTGTCTCAAAAGCAGGCCACATCTACCCCCAAAACATACGATTTCTTCAATCTTTTGCTGCCCCTCAGTGCTAAAAGTGCCTGTGAAGGTCCCCGAAAGGCGCGATTCTTGCGTAGTTAGTGCGCTGTGGCGCTCGAGGGGACGCCTCAAGCGCTCTGGCTGACGTGCGACTGATCTCGAAGTCTTCCCTTTTTATCCTGTGGCTGTTCTGGATTTGGGAGAGGGGAAGAAGAGTGCGTTGAAGTCGGACTCGGGGCGTCAAGGGCCAGTCATTTTGTCGATATTTTGAGGTGTTGAAGTGATATCTCGAGTGTGTGAAATGAGTCGGAGGGAAACCGAAGATAATGATGGTTGCTAGTGATGATTGATAACGATGTGCGCAGCACTTGCACGGGTTCACTACCCCCAACCTACAAACCCCGTAGACTATCGCTAATTCTCATTCCCGTCGGATTTATCCTTCCTATATACAATTTAGTACAGCTAGGTGGCGTCTGGCGGGCGTCTATAACCAAGGTAATCAACGTAGCCATACAAGGAGGCTCGATTGGCCTATAAGGGTAAGAAAAGTAGCCTTCCCTACTAGCATAGCTACTTAGTAAAAGAGGGGGTTCTAGAGACCGCCAGTATCTTAATTCCTATTAATCTCGTCGTTTTTATCCTTTTTACTCATTAACTAATAATACCAACTATAAAAACAATAATATTTTTAAACTCTCCCTATAAAACTATACCTCGTATTAACCTTAGGACTATCAATATCATTTATACGTAAATAACTATACAATTTATATTACTAGTTAAATCTAATTTCGTTTTATAAACGTAACAAATGATTTTGAGGATATTAAAGTTTTTATTATTAACGACGAATATAATATTATTTACCGGCAACCTTCCTCCCCCAAATTTATATACGTTTACTGGTTTATCCCTTAAAAATAGTAATTATTATTTTAATTAGGTTCGAGAGCGATGGAAGTAGTTTATTAAAAAGTATATATTAAATAAGAATTACTTAGTTAGATACTTTATAAAAGAAAGAGGGAAGCGATGGCGACAAAATAATATATAGGGTAATAAGAGAAAGTAGTAAAAAGGCAAAGTATTTATATAGGTAAAGGAAGTTATCGTTATTAAAGATAAATTGGATTAATATTAATAATAATATTAATCGAATAAAATTAGCGCTATTAATCTTCCTTCTTCTTGTTTGTTTTTAAAATCTATAATTAATTTATTAAATTTAGTATTAACTTCGATAATCGCTGTATTATTGGATTCAACGAGTTTGGCAACGAGTTTAACCTTTTTAAATTTATTATATCTAAAAATATATCGTTATTTACAAAAGGCCTTAAAGGTAGCGATATTTATCTTTGAATAATTTATATCTAGTTCGTTAAGGGTAACTTCTTCGTTAGGTTCTAAATAAATAGTATTGAAAACTTCTTTATTATCGGTATATCGAAATCCGGTAAAATTAATATCTTTTTAATTGATGCTCTTAATATTAATTTTGTAATCTTTTAAACCGTTAGGGTATATAGAAATATCATAATCTATAAAAGATTTAATTACTAAGTTAGGGTTTTCTTTTTTTAGCTGGTTAATTGCTTATACAATAAAGTATATTAGTATAATCCTTTCTTTCCCGGGAATCTATTTATTAAAATTCCTATTAATAGCTTCTGTTTCTTTAATATATTATTGATATTTA